ATCTTTCTAAAAAAAAAAAAAAAAAAAAAGGTAAGGTAAGGTAGGTTGATATGAGATTAGCTTAAGAAGATGCTAATATACCGCGGGCGCTTACGGACTGCGCCTTTGGTATTAAGCTTGATTTCAGTTTTCGTTATATATGTGTTTTAGTAAATAGTATTAGTTATTAGTATTTAGGGTTTTACTAAGTGTATTTTATGATTTTAATAATATGAGTTTATGTTTTTCTGATATGGCTTAGTTTACGTGTTATTGAATTTTTTGAGGTTTTTAATAATGTGGAATAGGTGCTTTAAAAATAGTTCACTAGTGTCATTTTTTGTAGCTATGTCGTTGAGGTTTTTAATATTTAGATTGTGCATACTGCATAAAATATTAAGATCAGTCCTGGTGGACTGGAATCTCGGGCAAAGGTAAAGTAGGTGTTCAAAGGTTTGAGGGCTGGTACTGTCGCAAGGACAGAAAGGATCTGGTGTTATATGGAATCGGTGCAGGTACTGTTTATCCGTGGCCGGTTAGAAGTTGGGTTGTTTGGAAGGAGACGGGGATTTTGGCAAGGAAAGAAGTTAGATTTGAGTAGGATGGGAAAAGCTTCTTTGTGTATATACAATTTTGCGATTCTTCGTAGAGTTTTTGTTTTGCTATTGCAAGTTCTTTGTGTTTAATTTGTTTGATGTAACTGATTGGGAAATTTTTAAACGAAGGTTGCATATTTGAGAGGGCTGCTTCCTTAGCTGTTTGGTCGGCTAACTCGTTACCGAATATCCCTACATGAGCCTTAACCCATATAAAGCTTACGTGTCTGCCTCGGCTCTCAATATTGTGGATATGCTGAAAAGTTTGGACTGTTAATCTATTGTAACTAGATGGGTTCTGTAGTTCTATGAGTGATGATAAGCTGTCGGAGATGATAAAGGCGGATGAATCTTGAGTTTTAATGAATTCGCAGGCTTTAAGGATAGCTAGTTGCTCTGCCTGATAGACAGAACAGGAGTGGTGAAGTTTATATTTCATTTTACTCACATGGCCGTCAGGTGCTTGAATGACAACGGCAGCGCCGACATCATCGTCCTGTTTGCTGCCATCGGTGTAAATATGTAAATCGATTGTGGCTGTGTTAAATAGAATGCTGTCGAGTTCCTCCTGGGAATTCGCAGAGCTAAATGATATGGGGTTACGGAGAGAGGGGTGAAGTAGTGTAGAAGGGTTGGCTAATGTATCAAGCGTTATTTCTTCTGGGAGATATTGTGTGGTTGTGCATGATTTAACTTTTTCGATTTCTGCTATTGAAAGTATTTTATCGGTTAGTGGTGGAAGGTCGGCAAGGACAATTGAAATTGCGGTGTTGGCGGTCTTGAAGCTACGATTAATATTTAAACAGAATGATCTTTGGAGCGATATTAATTTTTTGCATATGTATTTGTTTTTTAGTACTATGTGCCATACACTGCACCCGTAGGTTATAATAGGCTCGATGACTTGTAAGTATATGGTTCTTATATTTTCGGAGTGTACTCCCCAGGTGGGGCGGACAAACATTTTCAACTTATTATATATAGATTTGGCTTTGTTTATTGTGTTGTGTATGTGATTTGTGAATGTTAGTTTTTGATCGATAATAATACCAAGGTATTTTATTTGGTTGTGGAATGGAATGTGTGTGTGGTTCATGGTGAGTCTGATTTTTCTTGCTTGTGATGTGAATCCTATTGCGGTTGTTTTATTGGGATTGAAGTTTAATTTATTTGTTTGCCCCCAGTCGTGAAAGATTTGAAGTGCGGTATTTAATTTATCCTGAAGTTCATATGTGCTTCTGGCTGTTGCAATCAGAAGCAAGTCGTCAGCATAAGCTTGTAAGTGACTGCCGGCAGGGAGGGAAGTGGTGAGTAAATCGTCTAAAATTAAATTCCATAGTATAGGCCCACAGACAGATCCCTGGATGCATCCGCGGGTCATAGAACGGCATACTTCACTGTCTGCGAACCTAATGATAACTTTCCGGTCTTCCATGTAATTTTGAAGAATTCTATATATATTATTAGGACAGCGCATGTGTTTTAGTCTTCGGAACATTGATGGCCACCAAGCGTTATCAAAAGCAGCTTTGATGTCAAGTGAAACCGCCGCTACTTGTTGTTTGTTCTCTTTCCCGGTCTCGATAATGCTAATAGCTTGATGTAGAGCATGACAAGTGGAAGTCTGAAGTTTGAATCCAAATTGGGTTTCTATGTTGAGATTGTTTCTGTAGATGTGGTGAACTAAGCGATTGGTAATGAGTTTTTCCAGCAGCTTGCCGAAGACAGGAATTAATCCTATGGGTCGGTAAGACGCTAGATCCTCATAACTTTCTTTTCCAGGCTTGGTTATTATTTTAGTGACTGCTATTTTCCAAGTTTTGGGAAAGTATTGAAGCTGAAGGCACCTATTCATTATGTTAGTAATTATGTTTGGGCAATATTTACTGAAATGTAGACATATGTCAGCTGTAAGATGGTCGTGTCCGGGAGCTTTATTAGCGTTCATTGTTCTTAAGGTTTCTGTAATTTCCATAGTAGTGAATTCAGGGTCTGCATCGGTGTTCGGGGGTAGTCGCGTGAAATTTCGGATTGATGTTTGTTTTGTGTTGTCAGGAGTATCTTGCGGAAAAAGTTTCGTTATTAATAATTCAGCTGTTTTCTCAGCACTTGTGGTGTAGATTCCAGAGTCATTTTTAAGCGTAGCTGGGGGTTGTGATAGTGGTTTTGTTTTAATAATCCTGTTAGTAATAGACCAAACGTTTTCTTTGTCTTGCTTATTACAAAATTGTCGGAAGTGTGTTGTAGATGCATTCTGGATTGCTTCAGCGTATTCCTTTTTTAGTTGTGCTTTTTCTGTTATTAGTTCAGTGAGTGGTAGTTTCTTGCGAACGGCTTTACTTAGTTTTCTATGGTTAATTATGACTTTTTGTTTCAGATCATCCAGTGTGGCACTCCACCAGGGCGGACGTCGTGGCGGGCCTGTGGATCGGGGTAAGTAGCTATTGCATGCTTTTTGTATATTGCTTGTAGTTTGAATGATGTAGTGCTCTAGTTGTATTTCATCCATATTCAGTATGTTCGGTGCTTCTAAGGGATTGAAATATTTATCAAGTTCATAATGAAATTCGGTAATTCTAGTTTTCCATATATTAGGGTTGATATTATATTTCCATGTAGACGTTTTGCATGACCTAGTTAGTTTTGTTCGACCTAATTTTATTTCAAAAGTAATTGCATTGTGATCCGACTCGGTTATTATTTCCGGGTTAACTTTCCAATTATCTATTGTAGTATTGTAGCTATCAGAAATAAGGGTGATGTCTATGATTGAGCTTCGAGTGGTGTTATTTATGGTATTGAAGTATGTGGGTTCATTACCAGAGTTACATATATTAAGATTATAGTCTAAAATCATTTGTGACACTTCTTCTCCTCGGCTGCTATTTCGTTCTGATCCCCATGTTTTGTGCCAAGCGTTAAAATCTCCTGTAATAATGTGTGTGGAACTAGGAAAGTCTGAAAGGAATGATTTGAGTTTAGACAATGTTTTATTAGGGTCGAGCTTGGGTTCAATATAGACTGATATTAAGAACATTTTTTTGCCAGTAGAATCTCTAAGTTGAACGATGGATATGTTTGGGTCGGAGTATGGGTTCATGCTAATCGCGCTAAATTTATTGTTCTTAATGACTATTGCTGATTTAACCTTGTTATTATTTTTTGGTGTTTGAAATATAGTGTAATCCTGAATGCTTTTAATGATCGTTCCGTTCCCTGTAAATGGTTCTGTAATGAAAATTATATCTAATGTGTTATCTTTATTATGAGAAAGGAGTTCTTAAAGTTCTTAAAGGTAAGGTAAGGTAAGGTAAGGTAAGGTAAGGTAAGGTAAGGTGTAGTTAAACCCCTTTAGTGGGTGAGTTTTTGAAAAATCTTAGCGCACGCCTATATATATATTTCTGGAAAGTTGCATGTAGATCATTTTTCGAAAAAAATAAGGCCATAAAGAAGTTTCACTTCTTACGTGTGTACACTAGTACACGCACACATTTTTTCTTTTGCCTATTTAAAGTATTTATTAAATATGTAAACTGTATTATAAAGTTATTCCACGGTTCCTGTTCTTTTGATTAAACACTATAAAACATGAGAACAATGGTTTCAAATATATGAAAACCGAATTTGTTCTGGCCTATAACTCGCCTCAGCCTGGCTTGGTCAGGAAGAAACTCATAAGTGTTGATAAATAAGACAGATACTAGAAAAATGTTTGACTCTTGACCTGGTCTCGCACGATCCCGTTCAGAAGATCTGAATTTTTCAAAAATGCTGTGTTTCTTTTGGGTTACGATTAAGACCACGAAAACGAGGTCGATTAGGTGTTACGATTGATTTCAAAAATTGAAGTCCACCTTACCGGATCCCGCCAATACCTTGATCCAGCGGGATTAAGATGGTTCATTCCCACAAATACCGGGATTGAAATTATTTTGCGGGATTGAATTCCCTAACACCAGTTGATAGCATTTAAGTTATATACTAGAAGCGGTTAGAGTGGTTGCTGTCCTCGGACGAGGCGTCGTTGGGCGAGTCGATGGCGAGTGGTTTGCTCTTGTCCTCATGTAAGTACACGGGTTATATACGCACCTTTCTGGAAGCGGTTGGAGTTGTTGCTGTCCTCAGACGAGGCGTCGTTGGGCGACTCGATGGCGATTGGTTTGCTCTTGTCCTCATGTAATTACGCGGGTTACATACGCACCTTTCTGGAAGCGGTTGGAGTCGTTGCTGTCCTCGGACGAGGCGTCGTTGGGCGAGTCGATGGCGAGTGGTTTGCTCTTGTCCTCATGTAAGTACACGGGTTATATACGCACCTTTCTGGAAGCGGTTGGAGTTGTTGCTGTCCTCAGACGAGGCGTCGTTGGGCGACTCGATGGCGATTGGTTTGCTCTTGTCCTCATGTAATTACGCGGGTTACATACGCACCTTTCTGGAAGCGGTTGGAGTCGTTGCTGTCCTCGGACGAGGCGTCGTTAGGCGAGTCGATGGCGAGTGGTTTGCTTTTATCTTCCTCGCCGGCCGCTTGTTCTTGAGCTATCTTCTCACGCATGCCTTCCTGTACCATACCAGTTGCAAGATTTCAGGTTCCAAAAGTCACATATATGCTTGAACAATGCTTACTTATCAAAAAGTTGGGACATATCTTCATCAGCTACATAATTTATTTTTATTTTTATTTATTTATTTATTTATGGTACAGCGACAGAGTACAAATTATAACTTACATATTATTATACAAAATTATTGTAATACATAAACTTGCACCCCAAATGATGCTGAACACGACATTTGCTTAATTTTAGCTCTCAAATTTGAATAAATAATTATTATAATAATTAATTATGCAATTACAATTAAAAAAGAAATAATTAAATATGTATGTACTAATCAAGAATTATAAATAATAATAAAAATCAATTTAATTACAATTTGCTCCTGCATATTCGTAAGTAGGAGGAGTGGGAAATGGCAAAGATATCCACGTCTTTGGCTATTTCATTAAGGGCTCTGCTCATTCTATATAATGGGTCATTGTGGGTAACATTATTACTACAATTTGGTACGGAAAAAAGTTTCTGCAACCTTTTACTTCCTCCCACTTTGAATGAAAAACGGCTCAACAGATCCTCCACGTCCCAAACAGAGTTTACAATTTCGTAAAGTGTCGATAAATATAATAATCTTCCCATTACGAAGGTTTATCACGTAGGGTAGAGTAATTTGCCAAAGGAGTTTTTCCCTTTTTCATTACTTTATGTGGTTTGATATGCCATCATCATCCTATTAATAGCCGCACTGCTGGGGCATAGGCCTCCCTATGGATGGAATAAAGGGGCGTCCATAAATTACGTGAGGTGCTTTTTTGAATTTTCTGTCCCTCCCTCCCCCCCTGGTGAGATGTCGTGAGATTTTATTCAACCCCCTCCCCCAACCCCCGATCTCACGTGAGATTTTTCAAAATATAGGTTACTTACGTAAATGCGTTGGATTGTTATTGTATAAAGAAAGGTTGTTGACTCGACCCCCTCCCCCCCTTAACCATCTCACGTAATTTATGGACGCCCCCTAAGGCGATTGGGCGGTGACCCACCACGGGGGCCCTGTGCGGATTGATGGATGTTAAAGACTGCAGATGCAGCCGGGACCAACGGCTTAACGTGCCTTCTAAAGCACGGAGGAGCTCGAGATAGTAAATTTTTGGTCACCCATCCAATGAACGATCACTGCGAAAGTTGCTTAACTTCAACGATCGCAGCCGATCGAGCCCCTCAAATGTGAAGGTCACACGGCCACTTGCAACTTGATCTCGCACACGAAAAAGTTCGGTATATCATAAAATATTAAACAATATGCTCTTCTAAAGATATAACTGGAAAAAAAAACCACGCGGACCAGGCAGCAGACGGGACTCAACTCACACCCCTCGCAATCCGGGCGAATGCACTGACCAATTATGCTACCGCGGCCCTCACAGACCGCGTCGAAATTCCTCTAGCCATTCTTAAGCTGCAAGGCAGCGCCATCTCTTCGCATTATAGATAACCCACAATGTCAAATGAATACTTTTACAAGTATTAAATATGCTCTTGACAATTTTATTACGTATCAACCTGTTACAGTTAATGATATGCAATACGTTACCCTGTATACCGCAACACAACCCACATACAAAACTTAAAAAAGGTTTTCTTTAATGTTAAAATGGTAACAAACAAGTATATTGGCCACCATTAATTTATAGACGCTTCATCATCATCATCAGCCTATTAATTTCCCCACCGCTGTGGCACAGGCCTTCCCTATGGATGGAATAGGGAGATTGGGCCATGACCCACCGCGCGGGCCCAGTGCGGTTTGGGTATAGACGCTTGCGTTGCTTGCGCGAGTGACATCGCGCCGTTGTCTACCCTGACCCAATTCCCTACCCCGTGGAGACCTGGAACCTAACTCGCCGACAAAAACGCAACACCACCAAAAGATTATTTTACTGTGATCTCCTGGAGGCCTACTGTATTTCAACGAAAAACGAAATTTCGATTGAATTTTCGCACGTTCCTTACTCTGTTTCTATTTCATTTCGAAAATTCGTTCGTCCGAAAATAGTTTGACATTTAAATTCTCCAAGCCTACTCTAATTCACATAACTTTCGAACTAAAATTGAATTTGACAGATACCTAATTGTTCGAAATTTTAACCTCAAATTGGCGAAATGAAAAGTGTTACCCTTTCATTTTCGTTTTGGGATTTTTGTTTAAATTAAACCCTAAAATTACAACTAGAGTATTTTTAATTAAGGCTGCTTAGCGTGAGGAATATTTTTAGTATGAAAAATTTACAAATAAATCAAATTTTTGTTTATTATTGTATTGCCAATACTTCAAGTGTTACACGACAAATGTATATCAACATTCGATTGCATAAACTCTACAAACTAGTCGGCTAACACTGTCAAAAGAGGTTGTTTTAATGTAATCAAAAATTTTGTCACAAAGTAATATTGTTTTGAAGTAAAAAACGTTATCTAAAAAGTGTAGACAAAAAGAACTAACAAACATAACTCATTCCATTCGTTCACGATAATTGTCTGGGATTCCGAACTTTATGTGCGTGTTCGAAGATGAAATAGAGCAGTCACTGGCGAAATTTCGTTTAAAATTTGTTTTTTGCCGAAACTTCGTTTCGGAGAAAGAGAGTAGAGCTCTTGTTAGGTGGTTCATCATCATCATCATCATCAGTCTATTAATGTCCCCACTGCGGGGGCACACGCCTTTCCTATGGATGGGATAGGGAGATTGGGTCATGACCCACCACGCGGGCCCAGTGCGGATTGGTGGGTGCTAACGACTGCAGATGCAACCGGAACCAACGGCTTAACGTGCCTTCCGAAGCACGGAGGAGCTCGAGATAGTAAATTTTTGGTCACCCATCCAATGACCGACCACTGCGAAAGTTACTTAACTTCAACGATCGCAGCCGAACGCGCTAACCAGTTGCGCCATCGCGCTCCTCTTTGGTCGTTAGGTGGTTACTTCGCAAAAAGGACGTGGAGGTTAATGAAACATTTGTAGAAATAGAGCAGAACTAACCAGTAACATGTAGCAGTTGGGGCCGCAGGGCTCGCAGAAGGGCTTGAGGTCGGGCCCCTTGCGCTTGCTGAGGTTGGGCCCCGGGTGGCACGCCTGCAGCCCTGTACACCGCGATACAACCCACACGCAACAATTATAGTATGATGCAAGTTAATGGCGGCTGTGAAGTTAGCACAAGTCGTCAATACACATAGAGAATCTAGGCTATTTCACAAGTTTTTGAAAACGTTCATAACTTATTTAGGGGTCATCAATAAAGTACGTCACACGTTTTGGGGGAAGAAGGGGGTCAGCGAATAGGGTATTTGACAGTATTAAAAATAAAGTGCCAATTGTTAGCATCTGTGTTTAGAATGAATATTGGCACAAGATTTTACTATTTTTACAAAAAAAAAATATTCATCATTTTACTAAAAGCCCACGAAAAAGATAATAGTTTTCTTATCTATTGTCACGTGACCCAAAACGCTTGGGATTGGTGGAGCCTAAAATGACGTCACATGCAAGTAAACTTCCGGTTAAAGTGACATTACATTGTATCGTTTGACGTTTTAATATCAGTCGTGTTACGTCACACACTAGTAAGACGCCATATTGTCCAGAGAAACGTTTTCGCGGCAACTTGAAAATGGTGTTTTTGATTTGGTTATTTTACTGAAATACGCAACAGAATGATGAATATCCACTTTTTACGGACTCCATAAACATTAGTCAATAAAGTGAGATAGTTTTCTAAAACTTGTCAAATACCCTATTGTGACAAGGGGTGGTAGGGGTCTTAAGTTTCGTGACGTCACATTTCGAAATCTAAAATTTTTGAACTATTATAAAAAAAATACATTAAAATATTTAGAACTCTCATCTGCATGGGTTTTCATTTTTGTTGGCTAATTTTCGGAACTGCTGTTTTAATTTATTAATTTCTAGATGCAAAGTATGTGACGTCACACTAGGGAGAGTAGGGACTCACAAATGTGACTAAACTGTGACAAGGACGGGGGAGAGGTAAAAAAACCACAAAATTTGTGTGACGTACATAATGTATGACCTCTTGGTAATGTGTTAAGTGACTATGAAATGCGTTTTTTTTTATAATTCGGGTGCTTATATCAGAGGCACAAACAAGAGTTCTTGATAGCTCCGTAAAGTATCGTAATAGGGTATTTGACAAGTTTTAGAAATTGATCTCACGTTATTGACTAATGTTCATGGAGTCCGTAAAAAGTGGATTTTTATCATTCTGTTCTGTATTTGAGTAAAAATAACCAAATCAAAAACTCCATTTTCAAGTTGCCGCGAAAACGTTTCTCTGGACAATGTGGCGTCTTACTAGTGTGTGACGTAACACGACTGATATTAAAACGTCAAACGATACAATGTAATGTCACTTTAACCGGAAGTTTACTTGCATGTGACGTCATTTTAGGCTCCGCCAATCCCAAGCGTTTTGGGTCACGTGACAATAGATAAGAAAACTATTATCTTTTTCGTGGGCTTTTAGTAAAATTATGATATTTTTTTTGTAAAAAAAACCCCTGCCAACATTCATTCTAAACACAGATGCTAACAATTGGCTCTTTATTTTTAATACTGTCAAATACCCATTTTATATAGAAAAAGTTAGTTTGTTCTTACGTCCGATAGGGGCGCTGCTTAGTTTTCATAGAAACTTTGACGATGCGATACGTTACGGAGCCGTCGAAAACTATTGCTTGGGCCTTGGTAAAAAATGAAAATAAAAATTATGCCTTCAAATATGCCGCGGCAACTTTTACCTAGCAAAGATGGCGTGTTTACACGTATTCGACGTCACAAAGCTCTCGCTAAAACGTCAAAAAGTACAATGTCACTTCAACACCATGTTTACAAGCATGTGACGTCATTTTAGGCTCCGCCAATCCTGGGTGTTTTTCGTCACGTGACAACAGACCAAATATATAATAATCTAAAAATACAAATCGACTCAGTTTTTCGTCTGCGAAAAAACCGTCCACGTTTTTCCATTAACGTGATAATAATTTCTATACACAATATGGATTTTCGTAGACAAAAACTGAGTCAATTTATATCATCAGCTAATTTCGTTTTACTAGGTTTTGCTGTAAAATGACGATATACTGTCTTTCTCAATGTACCCGCGCATTCTTGCGCTCGTTGCTAACTTCACAACCGCCATAAAGTCTTAAATCACACTTAACACCCGTCAACATGATCACCGCTACATAAACACGTATACAATTAAGGTCTATAATCCATATAAACAGTGGCAACGTCGCTTATGGCTTTCGTCATAATAGGGATGATGACTAATTTTTTTTTCTTCGTTTATCAGGTAGATTATCAAAAAGTATTGGACACGTATTTTTCTTTTTTCACATAATATAAACATTGCAGAGATATATTATTTGAAAAGTCGCATGACGTCACGTTTGAGTACACTTATAAGTGAAAATTCACTCAAAAGTGACGTCACGAGCCCCTACTCCCAAACTTTGACGCGCTATAATTTTGTCATTTTTTGGTTGATGCCCAAAGAAAAAACACGTGTCCATTATATTTTGATCATCTAACTGACGGACTAAATAGAATTTCGTTTACTGTACCCCGTCATCATCCCTATTGTCGTAACTGTGTCGTTAGATTTCACGTTAGATGCAAGTTAACGCTTATTGGCGTGCTTGTAAAACGTCAAATGACGTTACATTTATTAACATGACTTCACTGTCAAAACCCATTTTCAAGTTAATGTCGATAAATCGCCGTTACAGGAGGAAATTTCGATCGAAATTTAACACTTCTCTTACTATGTTTCTGGTTCGTTTTTAATCATAATAATATTCGTCGTCGGAATATAGATTAAGGTGTAGATTTTCTTAGCCTACTCGAAGAAAGCTTTAATTTGATACTTTATCGTTCAAATTAAGTATAACTTTAGTTAGACCAAAATAAATTTCGTTTCAACTTCGTTACCGAAAGTTCGTTTCGAAGAAAGATATTAGACCCCAGATCGTGTGGCGGTGATCATGCTGTGAAGGTTTGGTTGGCATACAACACAATTCCGGCTATTATGCATTATACACTGCATTATCAATACACCAATCATAGTGATAATGGGGAAGAAAACATAAAAGGAGGGTGTTTATGAAAATTTACGTCGCCAGTTGGCGCCACTGTGGGTGGCATGAGGTCTTTTGTGTGAAGTTTTTGGCGCGAATTAATCGAACGAGCGTTTATATTGGTCCCAAAGAACTTATATACTAACCGGAACGCTTACGAAACAATATGGGAATTCAAAAAATGCACTCTAACGAGTTATACATAAAGTCCATTTTTGTTTCTACCTTCATAAGGGGGAAAAATACTGTTTGGACACACTACTAAAACGAGACAGATTCCACCAATTCAGCTATGCTCTTGGAACGATTTTGAGGGTCGCGTAAGCATTCCAGTTAGTATATAAGTTCCTTGATTGATCCAGAGTATGACGACACACGCGATTTGAAGGATGAGTAGACCTGTCACCTCAGTGCTGCCATCTGGCGCCCGTCATTATAGAAAACCACCATTTTTGCCAGACTCAATGACTAATTTATTGTTAAGGGTGCAACGCCATCTATAACAAGCTTTGCGTTTTCTTCCCCGTTGCTTGATAATCTATGAAAATAGGTAAGGTTTTTGAAAGGTTTAAAAGTTTAAGATGATCCAAAATAATTTAGAATTATGGATGATAAAGTTTACAAAATATTTGTAACAGTCAGAACAGCACAGCAGATAGAGTAATTACAAAACCATTAAATTCACTAGGCAATTTTCAATCTTAATGAATTTGGCAGATTTGTCATTTTAGTAACTGTTTTTACGACACAAGTTGGGTGTACTCAATACTAAACATATTCATGTCATATAACTTTTTTTTAAACATTGGTCTGCTAGATTTTTACAACATTCTAAATAATGTTCACTTATGCCAAAAAGTGGGATAAAGAGAAATCCGATTAGAAAATATACTAAATAAAAAAGACAGCATTCGGTTCAAAGCAAATCTAACTTTAATCCAACAACGGTAAATATCTATGAATGTGACGGTGTGGCGTATCCAGAACATGTATAACATAAAAGTATGACATGACAAAAATATGTGGTTGAATGAAATCCTCATTATGAATATGAAGAAATTAATGACACAAAAATATCGCAAGAATAAGTAGCAAATTCTCAATAATGAAATTGAAAATTATTCAAATATAATTATACTTGATTAACCCGATATCAAAGAGAAATGTTTAGGTTTAAACAAACAATCCTTTTGCTGTTTTCACGATTTTGACTGTATTGTGATAATATGAATAAATGTAAATAATGAAATATCCTTATAATATGGCAGCGGTGGTACAAAAAAAGCTAAAATCTAAAAGTCTAGCATAAATAATTATAATATGTAAGAAATTAACACTTCAAAAATGTATGATAGAACAGCCAAAATGAAATTGAATTGTGGCGATGTCTTTGAATGAACGGCCTTACCTGCCGTGTGGCTTCCTGTTAGCCCAACAAATAACAAAAATCTAATCAACTCTATAAATATAATAAACAATGAACAATATAATAATTTATTAATATTTCTCCACGACTGTTGGTAAGTTTTTGTTTTTTAATATAATACTTAAATTTACTTATAAAGCGAATAATATCTAGAAAATTCATGTTACTTAAGTAAATCTTCAATTAAATACATTTTATATACTACTACAGAAAATTGAGCATTGTTAAACGGAAAGGGACCAGTGGGCATTTATGAAGCAAGCAACGAACAAATTTTGTTCTACAAGTCAAAGTTTAACTCTACCGTCCTCAAGCTAAAACGTGGCTTAATGACAAAACCTTAAAAGATATGGCGGTGCAGTAAAACGGTGCGTAAAATTTAAATTATTGCTATTTTATAACCATTCATCACATGACGTATAGACTTCAACTATCATCATCATCAGCCTATTAATGTCCCCACTACTGGGGCACAGGCCTTCACTATGGATGGAATAGGGAGATTGGGCCATGACCCACCACGCGGGCCCAGTGCGGATTGGTGGGTGCTAACGACTGCAGATGCAGCCGGGACCAACGGCTTAACGTGCCTTCCGAAGCACGGAGGAGTTCGAGATAGTAATTTTTGGTCACCCATCCAATGACTGACCACTGCGAAAGTTGCTGAAGTTCAACGATCGCAGCCGAACGCGCTAACCACCTGCGCCATCGAGCTCCTCAACTATAAAATATACGAATAAAGACAAATCGATAGAGAATTAAAAATTGTATAGGATGCAATTTGTGATTGGAAAATCGACGACATGTCACTCAGCCGCACTTTAGTTTGAGGAGGGCAGAATTCTTGTTTGATCCCAAAAAAGCAATGGCTGTTTTCCATTTTCACAATCAAACTTTAACATTGGTTCATAAAACTCATTTTTGCTAGCTTCAAAAAAGCTCATTGGTCGCTTTCCGTTTAACACCGCTCAATTAATAAGATTATTATCTATATTATCAGTTTCTATCACATTGCAAGAAAATAATGCGTTAAATGTCTCACAAGTCATCATTGAAAAGTATTTGAGAGATTATCTTTAAGGAATCTCTATACTATGGGCGTCACTGAAAAATCTCTCTATTTTTAATCTGTTCACGGTAACGAGTTTGTGGAGCGCTTTCTTTATCACACAATCGCTTAAAAATGAGAAGGATGAAATAATACGCCACACCAAAAAGGGTGTTTTCGTTGGCCGGAGTATCGACAACAATACAATGCGGCTAATGACAGAAAAGCTTAGATTCCCACCAACTTATTTCCGTGATTAGAATATAGTTTAACCATTTGTATTTTATCTCAATTGAAGTTTATTAAATCCTTGAAATTTATCCTTTAAAAGGTATTTCTAGAAATTTTTAATCATTTGTAGTAAATAAGTCAACGGTGTCGATTCTGACATGATTTTCTAAACTTTAAACTAAATTTAACATTAGACCCTCCTTTTCATTCTGTACAGAGGATGACAAGGATACATTGCTGCCCAATTTGATTTTAGGTTTAGAGAACCATGCCAGAATCGACACCAATGGTATCAATTCTGACATGATTCTCTAAACCTAAACTTAAATTTGACAACAGTGTATCCTTGTTATTCTCTATACAGCATGAAAAGGAGAGACTGATGTTAAATTTAGATTTAAGTTTAGAGAATCACGCCAGAATTGGCACCATTATCTAGTTAAATAATAAATGCCTATCGTCTGTAAAATTTTGGCAATCATAAAACCCTGTACCCTTAGTACGAGTTTGAGCTCACGAAAACTATCATAGTTTTCGTAATTGTAAATTATGTAACCAAATATGATTAAAATTTAAGAAGACGCAAATGATTTAATGATGGAATTTAAACACTGTTTAATTGTATTGAAATGAAAACAATAAAATCAGTACCTTTAGTACGAGTGCGAGCTCACGAATAATATTATAGTTTTCGTAATTGTAAAACTCGTACTAAGGGTACTGTTCCCTAAATGCACAGATGTCCATTGCACAACCCACGTCTACACATGAAATAGGACACGTATTTACATATCAATGATGTTTTATAGCAGCAGAATACTCACTGTGCAAGAAGCAGTCGTACTTAAAGCAGCGTCGGCAGAACAGCGTATGGAACGAATGCATGGTCTGATCACGTGACACAGACTCTGCTAGAGGCCCGTCGATGTTGGGCGTGCACTCGGGGGGTAAGGCGTCTGGATCGCGGACGGACGTCAACTCGATGTATCTACATAAATACGAGTCATAAATAAATAAATATTTCCAACACTCACACCAATTAGCCTAGCCCCAAAGTAAGCACTGTAAGCTGCTTGTGCTATGGGATACTAGGGTAACGGATAGAATACATATACTGTACATATATAAAGTATACTTATATAAAAATACATAATTTTATTTATTTTTTAAGCATTTAACTGCTAGATGTTTAAATCTAAAGAAAAGTTTACTAGAAAAATATCCACGCGGACCAGGCAGCGGACGGGACTCGAACCCGCATCCTGCGCTATCCGGGCGAATGCACTGACCATTACGCTACCACGGCCCTATTAGCCGCGTCGAAATTTTCCTAGCCTTAAGCTGCAAGGCAGCGCCATCTCTTCGCATTGTAGGTAACCAACAATGTCAAATGAATACTTTTTCAAATATTAAACATTTGAAAGAAGAAATAGCAATTTTTTTTTTTGCTTTTTTTTTCTAGTAAACTTTTCTTTAAATTTAAACATCTAGCAGTTAAATGCTTAAAAAATAAATAAAATCATAACTATAAAAATACATGTTAAACATCCATGACTGGAGTACAAGTGCAGTCTTCGTGCAGTATTCATCACACAAACATCTGCCCCCACCGGGATTCGAACCCGGGACCACTCGAGTAGGCGACACCATGAAACCCGGCGTACAAACCACTCAGCCACAGAGATGGTCATAAAGTATATGAGAATGGACTGAGAGTTGCGTTTACACAGCTAGCATACTTGCACACTAGTTTAGTATTAGGCAGACACGGCACCCGTAGGATAAGAGTGCGAAGACCCGGTCTACACACGACACGCTATACCAGGTACAGGTCCGTACCTGGGCGTTTATCCCCGCCCCCCAATAACTAGAGCTGAGACCCGAGTCTCAGAGACGCACTCTTGTTGAGCCGACCCCATCAGGTGCTCGTGGTCTAGAGGCTCCAGACCAAGAGGAGACTCCCCCCGCGGGGAGATGCCATCCGCCTGGAATACCTCTAGAGGCACTCGCCAATTCTCGGCTTGAGGTCCCCTTAGGATCTCGCCGTCCCCAAACCCGATGATGCTGTAAAGGTCATCTGCGACCAACAGCATACACACTCAAAAAAGAAAAGTGTTGCTTAATATCAGAGAGCTAACTGGAGTCTTTATTACTAAAATTTTGTTAAAAATCGAAATCGGACGTGCAGGGAGGGTAAGTCGCGCTTTAATTGGATACGGCGTTGTGACGTTGCAAAATAGGTGCAAAACTGTATCGCGTCATTTGAGGGCGTGTATCCCCCTCATGTAATATTACTGTATAAGCTTGGCATCCCGTTTTCAAACAACCCCTGTTGTCAAAGTTTAATCTTTCACTTTTAGAAAACTGAGCAAACGCTTCAAGTCTTGCTGATATTAAAGTTAATGACTAGTAAATATAAAATACATATAGGTACTCACTTTTCCCTCAATTCTTGTGCAGTTCCTTTATCAGGGAACTGGGAGCTGATTGCTTGGAATATTGTAAATATCGGAAACTGCTTCTCTGGAATTGGTTTCTTCTCACCCTCCTCTTTAATTTCCTTATCTTTGCTGTCTTTCTCCTTTGCATCTTTACCTGATTCCTTCTAAAATTAAAATTAAGTAATCTCAATATAATTCCTAAAAAAAATCTAATGGCTTAGGAAGGAAATCTTCTTCCTCCATGTTGCAATTTATAACAAACTAGTGGCCCGCCCTCGCTTCGCTTCGGTGTAAAGCTGTAGTGTAGACTATAGTTTTTGTTCTCAGGCTTGTATTATACACAATGACATTCTTCTAATACCCAATTACAATAGGCACGCGCCGCCAAGCCCGGTAGCGTCGGAACCGCTATGTCCCTAAATTTTAAATTTGTAATATCTTCGAAAATATTCATTTAAATTATATGCGTTAAAGGGCCAAATTGTTCTATATTAAATGCACAATGTATTTAAGGTACTTAATTGGATAAGGATGAATGTTATATTGCTTAAAATCGCTTCGTAAATAATCTATTATTTCTCGTAAAAAGTATAGGATAAAACTTGGTTATTGTGGGTTATCCTTAAGAGATAGACATATACCATCGCGGACTTTTTTGTAGACCTTTTTAAGGTGTACAATACTGTAGTACATTATTTTGATCTATCTCGTGGGGTTCAGCCAGCGTTTGCAATGTAAGCGCAAAAAATGTGTTTATTTACGACCTTACATTAAAAACCTCTAAAATTATCAGTGTTTCTCTACTATATTATGCATGTATTATACATATAAACCTTCCTCTTGAATCACTCTATCTATTAAAAAAAAACCGCATCAAAATCCGTTGCGTAGTTTCAAAGATTTAAGCATACAAAGGGACATAGGGACAGAGAAAGCGACTTTGTTTTATACTATGTAGTTATGGTTGATAAAACCAATACCAACTTCTTTTTCTTCTTTAGAACTGCGTGCTTCTCGGTCTTTCCTTTCTTCAGCAACCTCATCCTTGGTCTGATAAGTCATCAGAGCATGTACTAAATCCACAAACAGTTGATCATCTATGAAGCCTCCTTCTTTATCACCTGTTGTAGAAATTCCACATATAAAGTAAATATCATTCGCAAATTTAGCATATATGTAATTTAAATTCTCAATTCTGAACAAATGATTTATTACAATTTTTATACTTGAAAATTTTTCTAAATGTTTTCTGTAATAAGTTGATACCTATAATATTTTTAACTAAACATTTTTGTTTCAAATTTTCTCTCGTGTGTCAAATTTCCATTGAGCTTCAATACATTTTAAATATACAACAAATATGGATTGTGATATCAAAGCATGAGAAGCATGACATTGTGAGGGCAAAGGCCTGTGAGGTGCTTTGAAGAGATTCTTGAAACCAAAGTAGATGACATGAGAATGTTTAATTGCACTAAAAATAAATTAATTCTGGTGGATAGAAATCTATTTTTCAACATAGTCCTCTAATTTGGCAGATATTTTAAGAATACATGTTTTAATATCTTACAATAAATATTTAAAGAATTTCAAAACCTAAAGCAAAGATGTGTGCACCACACACCAATGTGTGTTATTTCATGTTAAAACTTGTGGACAAAGATACTGTCAGTACTATATTTCTACTGAATAATGGAAACCTGTTCTAAACTCATTCAGTGGTTAAAAAAAATTATGGAATAATTCACATTTTAGGGCTTATTATTGAAAAATTATTACAATACGTACTTAAGTATGAAAGGATTGAAATACTGTGTTATAAATAAGATTTGTAATCTTTTGAATAACAAATATAATCTGATTTTTGACATAGTTTATATGTATATGTTATTTCGTTTTTCATTGTTTTATGTCAGAATAGAATAATGAAAATATTTTAAAGTAATTTAATGTTTTATTGAAATCTAATTTTCAATAGGGGTGACTGCACTGTTGTGTTCAGTGCATCCTGTAATAACTGTGTAATTTAATTGTAATATATAAATTAAAATTTGCCTTGGTTTTTAATATCATATTAAATAAATTATTGTAAACAACAAAATGCCCATTGCAGATTAAGGCTAAAAATCTGTGTAAAGATTGAGAACAGAACATCTTTTTGCACTTAAAATTCCATGAGTGTTTGAATTTTTCTGTCCACAAGTCGGTAAGAGATATGAAGTAAGCCGATGTACCATGCACTTTCCCGTCGTAGTTCTTTATGAGCTCCTCGATGAATGTACCGTCCTGGTCCAGTACTTCGTCGCCCATGTACGGAATGTTGTGCAACACTGTCTCGTCCTCCACCATGAAGTTCTTCTGTGTCGGAGCCCAAGTGTACATAGTGGGTATAGGGTTCACGGAATTGAAGATCCTTATCGGAACTTGTTGAGTTGTTACTACACCAGATGCTGTAAAATCAAGAGTGATATTGGAAACCTTTCAATATTGAAAATTCATGTTTAACTTGTCATTATACTAGCATAACATCTTGTAATATAAGTGTGATAATAGTGTACGAATAATAATGTTACTGTGCTATTAAAAACCGACCCAAGAGCCAAATTAACCCGACACTACACCGAAGATATCCCGGACGTCAGCCTGTACGAGATTAGTGTAGCTCTGAAACAGCTCAAAAACAAAAAGGCGCCGGGTGATGACGGAGTTACAGCCGAGCTTCTGAAAGCAGGTGGACGACCAGTCTTGAAATCTCTTCAGAAGCTATTTAACTCTGTCATACTCGAGGGCAAAACGCCTAGCGCATGGCATAGGGGAGTGGTGGCGCTTTTCTTCAAGAAGGGCGACAGGGCCCAATTGAAGAATTACAGACCCATCACGCTCCTGAGTCATGTATACAAGCTGTTTTCGAGAGTCCTCACGAATCGTCTCGCGCGCAGGTTTGACGACTTCCAGCCTCCCGAACAAGCCGGATTCCGAAAAGGGTTTAGTACCGTAGACCACATCCATACGCTGCGGCAGGTTATACAGAAGACCGAAGAGTATAACCTGCCATTATGCTTGGCGTTTGTGGACTACGAGAAAGCCTTCGATTCGATCGAGACATGGGCCGTGCTTCGGTCACTCCAAAGGTGCCAAATAGACTATCGATACATCGAAGTGTTGCAGTCGTTGTATGAAAACGCCACTATGTCAGTTCGACTCCAGGACCAAAACACGAAGCCAATCCAGCTGCAGCGTGGTGTAAGACAGGGTGACGTTATATCACCGAAACTGTTTACAGCTGCGCTGGAAGACGTTTTCAAACTTTTGGACTGGAGCGGACTTGGCATCAACATAAACGGCGAGTACATGACGCACCTTCGATTTGCAGATGATATCGTAGTCATGGCTGAGACCATGGATGACCTTGGCACAATGCTCGGCGACCTCAGTAGGGTGTCCCAACAAGTGGGTCTCAAAATGAACATGGACAAGACGAAAATCATATCGAATTCCCATGTCGTACCCACTCCAGTGACTGTTGGGAGCTCTACACTGGAAGTTGTTGACCAGTACGTATACCTGGGACAAATAGTCCAACTGGGTAAGTCCAACTTCCAGAAAGAGGTTAATCAACGAATCCACCTCGGCTGGGCAGCGTTCGGGAAGCTACGTAGCATCTTCTCGGAACATCTACCGCAGTGCCTCAAGACGAAAGTCTTCAATTCGTGCGTGTTGCCAGTGATGACATACGGAACCGAGACGTGGCCGCTTACAATGGGTCTTGTAAGAAGGCTCAAATCCACCAAAGGGCAATGGAGAGGGCTATGCTCGGAGTTTCTCTGCGTGATCGAATCAGAAATGAGGAGATACGCAAGAGAACTAAAGTCACCGACATAGCCCACAGAATTGCAAACCTTAAGTGGCAATGGGCAGGGCACATTGCTCGCAGGACCGATGGCCGTTGGGGCGGAAAGGTCCTCGAGTGGCGACCGCGTACCGGGAAACGCAGTGTTGGCAGGCCCCCCACAAGGTGGACCGACGATCTGGTAAAGGTCGCGGGAAGCCGCTGGATGCGGGCAGCATGGGACCGATTGTTGTGGAAATCCATGGGGGAGCCTATGTCCAACAGTGGACGTCTTTCGGCTGAAATGATGATGATGGTGCTATTAAATAGGACTATTGTTACTGATGACAGCCAGCAGCTAATAGGAATTATGTTACAAATTCATCAGTACTGTCATGGCTATTTAATCATAATCATTTATTCAGTTTAGGCATTTACAAGCACTCATGAATGTCTAGAAGCTATGCCATCGGTTCGTAAATCTACAGTGTAGACCTTTTACTGAGAAGAACCAGCAATAAACTCAGCAAGGGCTGCTTTTTCTCCCTATTATATTGTTCACAAAGTCGTCAAGTTTAAATTATGATGACATAAACGGAGATAGCGCCATTTCTAGTATTTGGCTTTTGGATATTAAGGTTGGAGTATTGAACATATTATCACAAAGTAGATAATGGACTGATGATATTACCATCGGTACAAGTCACTTCAGCTCGTTTCATAAGACTCTCATGACTCGGACTCGGTCCTGCTTGAGGCCAGAAAGGCCTTTTGCCAGACTTAACATTATCGGATTCACGATTCTCTATTGACTCCGACATTAGCCTCAAATTTCGCGCCCACGCCACCTTTACTTCGTCCGCTCGTTTGAAACGCTATAAAATAAATATGTTATTAAATAATTAGAAAAATAAAAGGCAGTAGCAAGATGCTTCTTTTTGTGTACAGTACCTTCACTTGTCGAAGACGTACATACTCCGATTTTACTCGTTTTTTCCATTCTGCCGTTACTTTTGATTTGCTCATTTCATTGGAAAATATTGAAATAGTTATACGGTATAATAGTGCAAAATTAAACAGAACACAAAAGAAAGAAAAAAGACCGGCAATGAGCACAAAAATGATACAATACAACTAGGGTTGCAACGATATATCGGAATATCGATAATATCGATAGTATCGAGACCATAATATCGATATTTATATCGATATTTAAAATTCACTGATATCGATAATATCGATATCGGAAATTCCAAAATATCGATATTTCGTAGACTAAATTTGAACACAATAATATCAATTAATTTACCTGCTATGACTATCTAAATTGAATATTATCGAAATAACTATTGCTTTGAAATCGCAAGAGCTTATAGATGTATTAAAAAAATCTTGAACCCCAAGAAATATACTAAACTGGTGTGGTTTCTGGCATAATTCACTAAACCTAAAATTAAATTTGACAACAGTGTATCCTTGTCATTCTCTATACAGAATGAAAAGGAGAGACTGATGTTAAATTTAGTTTTAAGTTTAGATAATTATGCCAGAATCGACACCAACGTATATAGATATAATCGTATACCTAATGGTACCTCATGCACTTAAATAAAATCCTTGCCTCTCTTTCTAGATAATTGTCAACTACTAATTAATTGAAATTTAATATCATTGTAATATAACACAAAATAAAATTAAGAATCTTATAGAAATCGTAAATTTTTTTAGCTCGCCAAGTCAAGAATGTAAGATAGGTATAGTAATTTTGGAAGCTTTGGGCTTACCCTATTCTGAAGCCATGGGCACGCCCCTGATGTGTAGGTTTTACGAATACATAACAATTGTTTTTCATATGATTATCTATTCTGATTTTGGCTGCGTGCAAACATTTTAAACAAAATAAATATCTTTGATTCGAAATTGCTTTTGATTTGATACTTCTTACAGCGCTATAAAAATATAGAAAATATCGTGTTGTAAATGTTGGAATGGCTGATATATCGGATCGGATATCGATATTTACCTGCCCACATTATAAATATCGATATTTCGGAAACCTTTGCTTCCTTAATTATAGGTTTTTGCTTTGCAAACTTAATACAAAGCAAAAAAAAAGAAAAAATATCGATATATCGATAATATCGAATTAAAATGGTCGATATATCGGATATCGATATTTTCCTGACTTCGATATAGATATCGATATAAATATCGATATTTCAAAAGACTTTGCATCCCTAAATACAACGCAACGAACAATCCAAATGACAGCTTTTAAACATTTTTTTAAGTTTCTCCCTTTTTAGGGAAGGCAAAGGGAACAATGCCCGTATAGTCTAGTTTTATGTTTTATTAATCTTTTTTGTTGGTGTGACACATTCTAATGTTTCTTGGAGTGTTTAGTACGAAATGTAACGAACTAGCTTTTTTGATAAACTTCTGTGAGGCAATCAACACTACAATAAAGTTCTCACGTCCGCTTGACCTAAATAGCGTATATTTTAAAGATTAAATGAATTATTCAGTTGGGCAGACGGTTTTAACACAAAATCACACCAATATTATTTCACAATATTCACTATGAGTGAGTTTCTAGAAACATTGTTTTTTTTCACTTTTTGTCTCAGAGGAAGCTGAATAGAATACTCTATTCAATGCTGCTGATACAAATAGCTACGTGAAGTGTCAGCATTAATCTGGATGTACACCATGGACGTTAAAATAGTCTGAGGTGCTTGATCGTGCTAGAAGTAGTCGGAATGAACCTTTATGGTAGGCATAGGGTGCGGCCAGAGTGCACTCAGATTCAGAGTCAGATTCAGATTCTGAAAACAAGCGCGAGAAATAAACAGTGTAGTCGAAGGGTACGGCCAGATTGCACTCCTGATTCAGATTCAGATTCAGACTCAGAAAACAAAGCGCGAGAAAAAGCAAGCAACCTGCTTAGACTACACTGTTTATTTCTCGCGCTTGTTTTCGAAATCTGAATCTGAGTGCACTCTGGCCGCACCCATACACACTACGAGAAATCTTTACGATCAGAGTTCGAACGGAACAGTTTATCATACGTGGCGTACGTATATGAAACTGTGCAGTTTTATAACATACACGCTACGATTTATCGGTACCGTTCGGACGGTACAGTCTAATCGTAACGATTTATAGTGGTGTGTATGGCTACCATTACGGAATGGCCATAGATAATAAATATCTTTAGATTTTTTGTCTATGCTATTGTGTAAGTGAAACGAATGTGTTGGCTGCCATTTTATAACTTAGAATAAATTTGAGAAAAAGTAAAATTACAGAAAAGGTGAGCTTATTACGAAAGGTATATTTGTAAATAATTAGAATGTCATATGCTTATATCGTAACGCATATCTGGTAATCGTATTTTACACGCATAGGCGACGGATTACGTAATTTTGTTGTTCCTCATCCATCACATTAATTATCACGAAACATGAAAAAGATATTGTCAAAACTGCGTTTCACGAGAACGGAGAATAGAGTTGCTGTCTACACCGAAAAGTTGTTCTGTTCGTAGGTGTGTGCGTACCTACATACTGCTGCAGGTTATGCGAGGAGGCTGATTTAAGTATGTCGTCGTATCGCGGCACGTCGGGCGCGTGGGACGGCGGGCCGCCGGGCGCGGAGGCCGAGTACGGCGCGCCCGCCCCCGCCCCGGCCCCGGCCGCCGCCCCGCTGCCCGCCACCGACCCCTGGACCGGCGTCAGCTACGGGCACTACGCCGCGCCCAGCGCCTACGACTACCAGCAGGCCTACGGACCTAACTACGGCTACAATTATGACCCTAGTTACTATCAACGCCCCGACGGTGCCTACTATGGAAAGTTTCCCGACCCCAGGCCGGCCTATCCTCCCGCGACCCAATCCAATTATGATTATCCGTCGCGTTCCCACGAACGGCCGCGATCTCCCGTCGAATCGCGTGGTTACGATCACAGAAAGCCATACAGATCTAAATCGAGAAGCGGTTCCCCCTCTGTGAGAGAGAGGAGGGAGAGATCCTATTCTAGAAAGCGAGACAGTAGCTATGAAGAAGGTGTTAGACGTCACAGATCGAGAAGTAGGTCTGTGAAATCGAAGAGATCTAAATATTCTTCTAGTGACCGCTCCAGTTCTAGATCTAGATCTTACTCACGAGCTTTAATGAGAGAAGATAAAAGGAAAAAAAGATCTGTTTCTACAGACTCGTCAGTGTCGAGTGGATCTTATAAGAAACTAATTAGCAGAAACCGTAACCGTTCCATTACTCCTACAAAAAGAAGTAGATCACAATCTAGCCATAGATCGAGAACTCCGAGCATTGATAGATCTCGCAGTAAATCACCAAGACTGAAAGACATTAGAGATTCCAAAAAGAGTAAAAGTCATTCCAAGAAGGAGAAAAGAAAGAATATTGAAGGGACACCTCCATCAAAAGGTTTTAATAAATCTGTTAGGTCCTCGGTTACACCACCTAAGAGTTACAAGAGGTCACAGAAATCTGTTACACCTTCAAAAAGTTCCAAGTACAAGGATCGTAGCCCAGGAACTCCACCCAGGAAGGAAAGAAATAACTCCTTGACTCCTCCAAAAAGCTATGCCAGAAGTAGATCTTCTAGTAGTTCCAAGTCTGGGTCTGTCACACCACGTCGCGAAAAGCGAAAATTATCTCATTCCCCTAAATTGAGGCATTCTAGATCTAGCTCACACTCTTCTAGCAAATCGTCAAGATCATCAAGAAGCTCTTGTTCAACATCTAGACGTAAAACAAAACGCACAGGTGGATCCAAACGAAGATCACGTTCCGATAGTCGATCAAAGCGTTCTTCTGTAAGTAGGTCACGTCGCAAGTCGAAGTCGAGAGATCGCCGCGGTTCAAAGTCGAGATCACGATCGCACAGCTCACACTCGCGAAGCCGTAGTCACAGCAGATCACCAAGTGACGACGAACGACGTGGGCAATTCACTGTAGCTGACCGAAAAAGATTTTGGAAACAGCGCAGGCAAGAGGAAATGGGCAAGGAAAAATCTCCTCCGAAGGAAGTTAAACCTCCCCCGGGTGCTGTAGAAGCATCCCATATAGATGACATTCAATACGGTGACCCACCAGAAGTGGAGGGTCCCAATTTTGCTGAACTCCTACCACCAGTAGACAAAATGTTGCCAGGATGCTCCTCATCAAAATCTAAAGCTATTCCTATACCAATAAAGAATGATGGTAGCTTTTTGGAAATGTTCAAAAAGATGCAAGAAGAAACAAAGAAACTGGAGGAAAAGAAACCTGAGATCAAAAAGCCAGTTTTGCCGTTTATAGGTAAACGGCGCGGTGGGCGTGTGTTAAAGACTGGCCTGGTCAAGAAAGCTAAAGCTATTGATGAGCAAACTGTTGATAGCACGCCAAAAGACGCCTGGTCCCTCTACATGCAAGAAGTCAAAAAGTACAGAGAGACCTCATGCGAAGAGGAAAGAAAGACACGCCCTCTTGTCAAATAATTAACCGAGCACTCTTGAGAAATTAGTTTTAAGATCTTTTTTTATTTTACCTCTAAAATATAATTACGAGTTATTATATTAACAGCAATTTGTATCTAGTTTAATGTAAGGTGTGTTCATCTTAATCATTATGTAAACATCCCATTTAGTTTACTGTGAAACAGATTTTCTGGATAATAAAGATCTACGAAAATGAATGTGTCTGTGTTTGTTTACAGTAAAATGCCTGAGATGATCAAATCGCCCGCTGACATCAAAACTGCACCTTTCGACCCGCGGTTCCCTAATACGAACCAGACCAGGTAATGTGTGCTTGTCATGTTGATCATGAGTGAGGTGAGATGCGAGGAGGACCTGCACTTTTCATGATGTACATTTTTTTTATAATATTAGTAGCTGTCCCAGTGAACTTCGTACCGCCATAAAAAAATAGGGGTTCGTGGTAGAAGGGTGAAAATTTAGGGTTGTATGTATTATTGTATGAGGTATCATAAAAAAATTGTTAAAAAAATAAAATGTTAGCGAGTGGACAACCCTTATCACTTAGGGGTATGAAAAATAGATAGTATCCGATTCTCAGACCCACTGAATGTGCATATAAAATTTCATAAAAATTGGTCAAGTCGTTTCGGAGTAACTAACATTGTGACACGAGAATTTTATATATAAGACTAGCGCCCGCCCGCGCCTTCGTCCGCGTTACCTTTAGTTTTCTTGGGAATCTCTCGGAAAGCTAAAATTTTCTTCGGATTAAAATGTATCCTATGTCTCAATCCAGTTAATAAACTATGTGTGCCAAATTGCATCCAAATTCGTTCAGCCCTTTTTGCGTGGATGAGTAACAAACGATAACTTTCGCATTTATAATATTAGTTAGGATTTTTATTATTGCACAATACATATTATATTAACACTGATTGCCAAAGAGGCACTTACGGCATACGGGAACATCTGCACAGCAATGCTACCACTTCCGATAGCTATTTCAATTTTATTCCATCCATCCATCAGCCTTTCTCCGTCCACTGCAGGACATAGGCCTCCCCCATAGAACGCCACAATGCGCGGTCCTGCGCTATCCGCATCCAGCGGCTCCCAGCACATTTGACGATGTCGTCAGTCCACCTTGTTGGGGGCCGCCCCACGCTGCGTCGTCCGGTACGTGGTCGCCACTCGAGGACCTTTCTTACCCAACGGTTGTAAGATCCTCGAGCGATGTGGCCTGCCCATTGCCACTTCAGCGTGCTAACTCTTCGGGCTATGTCGTACACACCGGTCCTTCTACGGATCTCCGTATTTCGGATCTTATCATGTAGGGAAACACCGAGCATAGTTGTTAAATTCAATTTTATTACAAAACTGTAATTTTTTAATAAGTATATCTTGAAATATATAAGAAACTAGCTGACCCAGCGAACTTCGTACCGCCCTGAAAAAATAGGGGTTGTCCAGCGGACAAAATTGTGAATCTAAACCATTCTCAGATCCCCTTGAACACACACAAAAAATTTCATCAAAATCGGTCCAGTCGTTTAAGAGAAGTTCAGTGACATACACACTCACAGAAGAATTATATATATAAAGATTTGTAATTTTACGGTTCCGTAACTCATGAGGAACCCTTAAGGACCACTTTGTTGTCATACCTGTCATCAAGACCCTTTATCTTTCTTTCTTTATGCGTGAATGCGTGGAGGTATCGAGTTTAAATAAAAACCATATAAGTACTCGGGTCTGCTGACCCTTGAAGCTATAAAAAGTCAAACTTTTGAGTTAAAGAAAAAAGGTACGGCCATACAAGTCGCAAAATATAAATCTATTTATAGGGTAGGTAGAGACTGTGCGGAAAGAGAATGGGCGTGGCGAAAAACGGAACTAACATTAAGATTTTTATTTGGCAATCAAACCCAGCAATCTGTAAAACGTCAAAGTTTTGTATTGATACGGATTTGTTTGTTTTTGTGATTTCTTGCGGTTTTTGGTATTTAATCATGTCTAAAAGGGGTAAAACTTTACAAATACGGTAGAAAAGCACTACAGCGCCCTCCAATCTAAATCCCATTCTCTTTCCGCACAGACTCTCCTTTCTGTTGACTTATCTAGAACTTTTTAATTTGGGTTAAATCATAAAAATATCTATATTGAAAGTATAGATTATAAAAATGTTGCCTAAGTATATTTCAATTACTTTGGAAAAGCTCAGAAAAAAACTGTAAGACTCGATTCCTGAACAAATTATAATAATATTATGTCTTTGTCTTAAAATTTGTACGGAACCTTCAGTGGTGCATCTTAACATTTTATATGGCAATCGATCGAAATCGAAGTGATACAGTTTTCCAGCCGGCCTATTCGCTAACTTTTTTGACATTTACAATGTGCAACTAAAGAGAAAATTGCATGTCCATGGATGCTTTTCAGAACAAGTATCTTAGTGGCGTTATAATCGAGCAGTAGTGAATCACGAAATAGCCCCGATCTCACGTGAGATTTTTCAAGATGTGGGTTTCTTACGTAAACGCGTTGGATTGTTACAAATATGGTGGTTTGACAGTCATGTATAACGTCGAACTATGAATGAAATTATTTTCTTTCGAACGAATTAGCGAATGATCTTTAATCGTATTACGATTACGCTTAAGATTAAATCTTAAGCATTTACAATCTGGAATAAATGGACCAAGACAGTATATTTTTTTTGTTTCAATCAGAAAAAAATTGCGTGATATTTGCCGAGACCCCCCCTCTCTCCAACATAAGATTAGATGAGATTTGACTCGACCCCCTCCCCCCCTTAAACATCTCACGTAATTTATGGAGGCCCCCCTACTGGGCCGATATACACTGGAATGGGCGAAGGTACCAGGACCACCAACACCCACACCAGAACTTTTGCTACTTTATCCAACATGCTGGAACAGGCTTTATCTCCAGCTGCCGCGGGGATTGCCACCGGATACAAATGGCGATGTCTTCTTGTGGCACCACTGGTGGCATCCCCGCGGGGGCGACTGGAAATAAAGGCTGATCCAGCATGTAATGCCGTTCAAGTATTACGTAAGCAGATTTATTACAATTTTCAAATCAAAATTACGTAAACAGCGGTACCTATATGCATTTTTCCTTTAATGTATTCTGTTTTTTTTTATTGATTCACGAGCTTCATTAGCAACAGTACTTAAATAGCCTTAGGATAGAGTACTTTAACGCACATAATATTCATTTAAACAAACTTTATTGACACAGTATTCTACATAGAGTAAGGTACAAAATTTATAATCTTATAAAGTAATATTACGAACAAAACAAACTTCTTTCGAATTTTTGTTAAACCAATTAATCCATGATGCTGACGTAATCACTAATATGTGCCCCCCCCCCCCCCCCCATGTCATCAAAAATAAGCAAAGCAAAGACCCCCCTGCCCCCCATTAGTGCTTACGTAACACTTGAATGGTCGCGGCCCCTAAAGGTGGATCAATGATAGCTTGAAGTCGCATCCATTTTATCTTGGATATTTACGGACGACGTCATGTGGGATCTTAACTTGCTCATCCACTCAGTTAACTCTTGGGGCAGGCTCAATGGCTGCTCCTAATCGGGATCCTGACGCAAAAATTCCGTAATGTCCGCTCGCCTTGTGGGATCCTAATTGAGAATCAACCACGCCGCCGTCGCATCAATAAGCCTGGCCCAAAGCAAGCACTATAAGGGCACTTCTTATTGTTAATCTCATCTCGTCAGACGGGTGCCGACTAAGAGCTAGGACACAGCATTTTTTTATAGGGATGTAGGCAAATGACTCTACCCCACCTGGGGGCTGGGAAATGCTTTACGCATCCTTCAACCACCGGGGGAGCGAGAAGAAGGTATGTGGGACTCCTCCCTGCTCATTTCAGCCAGCCCTTAGGCCGGGTGAAATGAGCAGGGCCCTACCTAACGCCCTGAACAGGGCCACTAAAAACCAGACAATATTCCTGCACCGGTCACCCGGCGTACATTCTGAGGACCGCAGTCCCCCCGCAGGACGCCGGGAGTGCGGGCGTGGTCGCGGCAACCGTTGCCGACTGTCCGCGCACCCGCAAGGTGATTGTCCGCGAACGGACCCACCCCGATCCTTCTCGCGCTCTTTTTTTTCTTTTGCATTGGTAAAAACAATATTTAAAAAAAATGAGCGTGAGGTATTCGAAAACCTTTCGCGGTCAGAAATAACAAAATAAAATCGAAAGCGTTAGCGTTTTCCTAAGCATTTCCGTTAGGCGAATGGCCCCCTGGTATTAAGTGGTGATAAAGTCCAAACGCGTCGAAATTAATTGCTGTGCAGACCTCAAGAAAGTATACATACACTCGGCGTCACAAAAATCGCACCTCCGCGGAAATAAAACTGTCAAGCGTTATTAACCCTTAACACGCGCCTGGGGTTCCAACCCAGGACCTCGGGGTAGGCGTGGCGTGACTTTATAATGCTGAGGGTCCGTTCACACCGAGACGCGACGCGACGACACTCGAAGAGGCCAATGATTTCGCAGTTTGAGACGCATCGCTACGTCGCGAGTCGCGAGGTGCATCGTATAATCGTAGCAGCACGACGCCTCGCTGCGCAGCGATTCGCTGCGTAATTCTGAATTCTCACAAGGAAATGTGTATCTTTTCGTGTAGTAAATAAAGTATATTTTGAGTCGCTCTATAAAAAATTTGCGCGCATCGTCGCGTCGCGTCTCGGTGTGAACTGCTAAAGATGCGAATTTAAGTTAACGCATGCATCAGTACCAAGGGCGGATCCAGAGGGGGAGTCACGCGGGTCACGACTCCCCCCCCCCCCTTAGCTGGGTCCATCTGAACCCACATCACAATCTGTACCCCCTGTGACTTGACCACGACTATATGACCCCCCCCCCCCCTGGCGCCAAAGCGGGATCCGCCCTTGATCAATACAGTTGAGAACGCGTGCGAAAGTAGTAAATTTTATATTATGTTAATGGGTTACATCACATCTCTTGTTATTACCCACAGGCACTGCTACCAGAGCTACCTGGACTTCCACCGATGCCAGAAGGTGCGCGGCGAGAACTACGAGCCCTGCAACTACTTCAAGCGGGTGTACAGGTAACTCTCCTTTTTACTGTAGGTACTTTTTTACGGAGCTTGCGGCAGATTTCCTTTGAAGCACATGATAAAAGAAAAATTTCATTTAACTGCATTAAAAAAATAAACTCCTAAGAAAATATAACTAGAAAAAATTCCACGCGGACCAGGCAGCAGACGGGACTCGAACCCGCACCCTTCGCAATCCGGGCGAATGTATGTAGGAAGGCCAAAGGGGAAGATATTCCTCCGAGCTGGGTGATGTTAGCTTCCGAATTTCATTTGCGCGATGTAGGCTTCCATACTATTGTTGATCGCAGTGCAGGTAACGCCATCTCTTGAGGATGGTGAGTAATGATTTCCTCCATCCGTTGTCTATATATGGGGCATATAGATGTCGCAGCCACATGTACTGACCAATTATGCTACCACGGCCGTGATGGCCGCGTCGAAATTCTTCTAGCCATTCTTAAGCTGCAAGGCAGCGCCATCTCTTCGCATTATAGGTATCAGCGCCATGGTAGCATAATTGGTCCGTACATTCGCCCGGATTGTGAAGCGTGCAGGTTCGAGTCCCGTCTGCTGCCTGGTCTGCGTGGATTTTTTTAGTTATATTTTCTTAAGATTTAAATCGTGCTTAAAAATAAAAATTATAAAAAATACTCTGTTGATACAGTTAAATGAAGAACACCGGTACAATAAACGCCACGTAAAGATTATCTCTTATCTATTAGACAAGTCCGTCCGTCTGTGGTGCTGTTTCAGCGGCCAAACCGTAAGAGATAGATAAAGAGAATATTTAAGTTAAAAGTTAAGAATAGTCTGATAAGACTACAAACCGGATTTGAGTAACGTAGCACTTCCGGTTTTCGAGAAATCAGGTTTTGGTGAACATTTGGTTCACTGGTTTGCTAGTTCATTATAACTTGTTTACTTTCAGCACATTTCCGCCAATGTCATATCATCGGTAGCTTCAACACGGGGATTAATTAGGCACATTTGGAAATAGACTTAGGCGCGCCCTTATGACGTCAGGGTTAAATTTTCATAACATACAGACAACAGCAGGAGCTCGAAGGCGCAAGTGGTTAGCGCATGCGGCTGCGATTGTTGAAGTTAAGCAATTTTCGCAGTGGTCGGTCATTGGATGGGTGACCAAAAATTTACTATCTCGAGTTCCTCCTTGCTTCGGAAGGTACGTTAAAGCCGTTGGTCCCGGCTGCAACTGCAGTCGTTAGTACCCGCCAATTGGCCGTGGCTCATGGCCCAATCTCCCTATTCCATCCATAAGGAAGACTTGTGCCCCAGCAGTGGGGCCACTTATAGGCCGGTGATGATAGTGATGATGATGACAGACAAGAGAAGCTAGTTTCTTTCGTATTCGTTACATAAAAGCAAGAATAATTTTGCGAGGTTATAGATACTTCCTCAGATGTAGGTAATTCCGAATCGGGCGGAATATGCTGCTATGCCCTACCTATAATGCGATTCAAATAAGAATAGGAAAGCCAATGACCTCCATCTGTCAAATGTCGGTTGAAAAGTACGGTTTGCAAAAAAATCTCGAAACACTTTTTTAGCACTCGGCTGATTCTAGAATAAAAACCAAACATTTTTAAACAAACAATAACAAATGTTGATAATTAATATTATTTGTTTTTTTTTTCAATTATTGAGTATTGGCTATGAATGGTTGATAACCTAAATCGTCAACCAAATGTCACGTTATGTTGCGTTTAGAAACTCGTTTTAAAACTTTCGTTTACTTATAGGATGCATGTTCGTATGTGACCTGCATGATTATTCATAACTTCTCCGGCGATAATGCAAAGATGAGCGAAATTGAAGAGCTAGATTCTGATAAATGTTTTTTTTTACACAGTCTAAATAAAGAAATACTATTAAAAATCGGTTGTGTTCTTTCTCAACCTTACTAAATTAATCTTATTAAAAAATCTGATGTTTTGTCTCACTTAATCTTAGTAAATAAGTTTTATTGAATAGCAAAATTTTTTTGCTCATTCTACCTATTTTGGTTTGAATTAACAGCTATGACGTCAAAATATGGCGCCCAGTCGGTCCTATTGTTAGTTGAATCGCATTATATTTGCATATTCACAATAATGCTCTAATCGCTCTTATCAGGTGGCGGTGTAATGGCTCGATTACATTTGGTCGTTAGCCCGAATATGATTGCCAATGGAATAGGGGTGATGACGGGGTACAGTAAACTATTTAGGCCGTCAGTTAGATTATCAAAAAATAATGGACACGTATTTTTTTCTTTGGGCAAACAACCAAAAAATGACAAAGTTATAGCGCGTCAAAATTTGGGAGTAGGGGGTCGTGACGTCACTTGAAGTGAAAATTGTACCTAAACGTGACGTCATGCGACTTTTCAAATCAATATATCTCTGCAATGTTTATATTATGTGAAAAAAGAAAATATACGTGTCCGATACTTTTTGAAAATCTACCTGATAAACGTAGAAAAAAAAATAGTCATCATACCGATTCGGGTAAACGATTAAGGCCCTTATTACAGATTGACAACTAAGTGTTGATCTTTACTTGAGTACAGTTAGACAGGGATGCCGCTATGTGCTATATATAGCGATATCCCTTTCTAACTATGCTCAAGACTAGATCAATCACTGAGAATCTTTCTATAATACGGGCCTAAGTGTTAATGAACGGAGTTGAGTACGCGGGTAGTTTTCACATTGGTTACCCGTCACCGTCTTCCAGTCCGTATTCCAGTGTAAATATTGCTTCGGCTACCCGAATTCGGTTAATGTCTTTCGTGCAATACGGGCAAACGACCAAGCCTAATTGAGCCATAAGCAGTGCTGTCTTTGACCTATTGGAGGCCCTGGGCATATTAGGATAATGGGGCCCCTATGACTTCCGTTTGATGATTTAACAGGAACTAGGGACTTTGTATTTGATCTGAGGTGGCCCCCTATCATTGGGCCCTAGGCACTTGCCTAAAGTGCCCACTGGGAAAGACGGGTCTGGCTATAAGAGTGCGAGTTGATTAACGCTAAGCCGCTGGTCACGGCTGCACCTGCAGTCATTTTACTGTGGACTTCAATAAGTTAGTTGGCGCTCCAATTTGAACGGGAAGTCAGCTATGCCATTCCTCTCTATAAGCACTATTTTGCTCACCAATTAGCACTAAGCTTGCGTAGTGGGTCATGGCTAGTGTTGCCAGGTGTCTCGATTTTCAGAGGTCTGGGGACGCGTCCCGATTTGTACCTGATCCGGACGCTAAATGTCCCGATTAATCAAAAAATTAAATTAAGGTAATTAATGGTGTTGATTCTGGTGTGATTCTCTAAACTTAAAACTAAATTTAACATCAGTCTCTCCTTTTCATTCTGTATAGAGAATGACAATGATGCACTGTATACTTGCACTAGTAGTTTAAAACGCAATAAATTAAACCCAGACTTAAGAACCCTTTGTTTTTTGCTTGCTGTCCCGATCTGCAACCCTAAATCCAAATTTTTTTGACCTCTTGTACCGATTTAAAACAAATCGGACCTAGCAACACTAGTCATGGCCGATTCGCATTATTCCCATCCATATAATAGGCTGGCAATGACTCATTCATATGACGACCTCCGTGGTCGAATGGTTTGTACGCCGGGTTTCATGGTGTCGCCGACTCGAGAGGTCCCGGGTTCGAATCCCGGTGGGGGCAGATGTTTGTGTGATGAATACGAGCTTTGTACTCCAGTCATGGATGTTTAATATGTATTTCTATATAAATATACTCGTATATGTAAAGTATATGTATTATATCCGTTACCATAGCATCCCATAACACAAGCCTTACAGTGCTTACTTTGGGGCTAGGCTAATTGGTGTGTGTTGGAAATATTTATTTTATTTTATTTATTTATCTATTCGATGTTATGATTGCAGGTCTCTGTGCCCCAACGAGTGGGTGGACAAGTGGGACGGCCAGCGGTCCGAGGGTACCTTCCCCGGCAGGATCTAAGCGCATTATGAAATTCCACCAGCTGTGAACTGTTATTTAATTTGAGTTTTAATTTACATAGGTAAAAAGGAATGCTTTAGTGAAATAAATAAGTTGATTCAACGGATACGTGTTTTTATTCATATCTTAATATATATAAATCTCGTGTCACAATGTTTGTCCTCAATGGACTCCTAAACCACTTAACCGATTATAATAAAATTCGCACACCATGTGCAGTTCGATCCAACTTGAGAGATAGTATAGTTTAAATCTCAAATTATAGTCGCAATTTTAATTTATTGCAAATTATTACTTTTGGGCGGTACGAAGTTCGCCGATACAGCTAGTAAAATTATAAAATACAATAAAAAATACTGTATTGAAAACACCACAACGCAGAACAGAAATGAGGGATATTACAATTGTAAAAAGAGCTTTTAGCGATAAGACCGCCGACGAAAGAGTGCTCCAATGGGCGGTCTTATCAGTAAAAGCGATTTCTTCCAGACAACCTTTGCATGGAGAGGATTGAAAGAAAGCTGGAGTCGGGGGTGTCAGTAACAGAAAGAAGGGATATAAACGAATTTATGAATCAAATAATATACATACATTTAAACATAGACTACACATATATAAGTTTAGTCCATTCAGCAGAGATAAAAATGCAGCTACATCGACAAATAGTGATTTACAACAAGGTTTTTAAAGAGATTAATAGATTGCGCTCGTCTTATGGTAACTGGAAGAGAATTCCGTAGATGTACAGCCTGGACGGTAAAAGAACGACCGTAGAAGGTCGTGTCATGGATGGAATATATTTAAATGCGAAATTAAAAAGTTTCTTGCTGGTGATCAAACTTTCTGGTCTTAGTGAGTTTGTTCAATATTAATAACGTTCATTGTCGTTCACGTTGGTCAAGGACAACCTACTCAGCTATAAGTGGGTCAAGAAATTTGCCCACTGCCATCCCACCTATGGCCTAGTGTTAAGAGCATATGGGTGGTTCTACTCGCAAGGGAATTTTCCGCGGCTTACCTTATTATATATAGTGTTGTGGGCAAATTATATTGATTTACGATCGAAACTGTACAACTAAATGGTTTCTAATATGACACTAAAAATTAGCTCACTCCTAAATATATATCTTCCCAAAATTGTACTTTGAAGTGCCCAATTATCAGTCTCCTGTCATGTCTCTCGGCCGAAATGAAAGTTTAAAGGCTGCATCATAACTTTATTTTAAATATGTACGTAATATCTATACAAAAAAATGATATAATAATTTAAATAGTTTTAAGGCGTTTATCTCATTTTACCTTAAATTCGAAACTTATTCGAAAAAAAGTGCAAGTAAGTAATTCAAACAAGGACAAATAAAGTAAATAAATAAATTACGATTTAATATGTTTCAATTTTGTATCAATATTCAGTCTGCTGTGCCCATATTTTTTTTTAATGATTATTGATTTGGTAAACTTATTTTTTTTGACTGGCCCGTTTGATATTAGTATAACAACGCCCTAAGGTATACGTCAAGATACTTTTCTGACCTTCGATGCCAAAAATCACTTCATTTTTGTTCCTCCTGAGTAGAACTACCATATAAAATCCGGTCGCAAAGATAACTAATTTGACTCAAAAGCGGGCTACTCCCAGCATGAAATCCAATGCCTTACCCCGTGAACCTTATTCACCAACAGCCAACAGAAACGCCATCATGGAAAGTTTTCATTTTTCAGTGCTTCTTTATGGTGAACGTTACCACGATGTTCCTTTTCCAGTCGGGCGCCTTCAGTGAAATGCGACGATATAATAATAATAATAAATATTTCCAACACTTACACCAATTAGCCTAGCCCCAAAGTAAGCACTATAAGGCTTGTGTTATGGGATGCTAGGGTAACGGATAGAATACATATACTGTACACATATGAGTATATTTATATAGAAATACATATTAAACATCCTTACAAGGACAAATGCTCGTATTCATCACACAAACATCTGCCCCCACCGGGATTCGAACCTGGGAATTATGACGTACAAACCACTCGGCCATGGAAGTCGTCATATATAGTCTTTACTAGTGATAGAGATGAGTTTCATAATTATCATCTCCCTCAAAAACAGATTATTTTTAGGTCTTTCATTTGAAATAGCTGAAAGTGATTCTTGTTTGATTCAAAATCGCAGTGGATTTTTTCAAAGGCATAGAACAAAAGCGCGATAAATGAGATTAGCGGCCTTGTAACTTTGATTTTAAAAAGAGTACCTACTTACAAAAATTCTTCAATAGTAATGAGTAATAACTACTGCGTCAGTAACTACTTTCTCACCCCCAGAGGTATTCAGTAGGATAGGTCTGCTGCATAGACAGTTGGGGTGTAGTCCGTAATATATATCAGTATACTGGCCAGTGCTAATGACGTCATAGATAGACGCTATACTGGTGAATTGTTCCGAAATATATTGGCCAGTGCACTGACGTCATAAATCGACGAAATATTAAAAATAGTGCGAATAAAGAAGATTTTTTATTCACCTCATCAATTAAAAGGAATTCTTTTTGGTCGGATGACATTATTGTTCTTTAAATAAAAAAAGAATAAAATTCGAATGCATCTCACGCACGCTCGGTCATACGTCATATTCGTTTTCCCGGTAAAAATATGGTAGCGTACCAGTATAATATGGCGTCGGATTCGTGACGTCATTACCACTGGCCAGTATACTGATGTACATTTCGGAATACACCTTTGATGTTGCAAAGTAAAACTAACAGATACGTGTGAGTGTGACGAGGTGGATCGTGCGGCCAATAGTTTGCATAGCCGCTCCAATCGAGAATTGTCAATTTCATGAGTGTCGCTTAGTCCAGGTCTGATCAGGATTATCTAAACTAAAACAAGGAAGTATCCCAGAAAATGTATACTTTATCAAATGAGAATCATATCAAATGGGTCCAGGGAAGGCACCCTTGTCGCGCAGCTCATCCCAGTGATGAGTGTCGCTTAGTCCATGTCTGATCAGGACTATCTAAACTAAAACAAGGAAGTATCCCAGAAAATGTATACTTTATCAAATGAGAATCATATCAAATGGGTCCAGGGAAGGCACCCTTGTCGCGCAGCTCATCCCAGTGATAAGTGTCGCTTAGTCCATGTCTGATCAGGATTAATTAAACTAAAACAAGGAAGTATCCCAGAAAATGAATACTTTATCAAATGAGAATCATATCAAATGGGTCCAGGGAAGGCGCCTTTGTCGCGCAGCTCGTCCCAGTGCGCGATCCACGCGTTGGGGCAGATTGTTTCGAAGTACCGCTTGAACAGCTTGCAGTCATCCGCCTCGCCCAGCAGGCGCGTGCACTTGTAGTAGTCGCAGTAGTTGTCGTAGCATGCCCTGATCGATAAGGTAATATTGGAGAAGGCACCATATCACCATGAGCTTATTAACATCCCGAGATTGGAATGAAATAGCCGTAGAAAGAGGGGGGGAGGCATTATGGAGTAATTCCCTGCCTTAAATACCATTGCCCTACCCTCAAACACAGGGCGGCATGCCCTACCTGTAAATGTCGCTGCCCTATCTTGAAGCTGTACCCTCGGGAACTACGACTTTATGGGGAACACAATGAATCTTTAGAAATTTTCCAACATTTACTTAGCGAGCTAGATGGCGCAAGTGGTTAGCGCGTTCGGCTGCGATCGTTGAAGTTAAGCAACTTTCGCAGTGGTCGGTCATTGGATGGGTGACCAATAATTTACTATCTCGAGCTCCTCCGTGCTTCGGATGGCACGTTAAGCCGTTGGTCCCGGCTGCATCTGCAGTCGTCAGTACCCACCAATCCGCACTGGACCCGCGTGGTGGGTCATGGCCCAATCTCCCTATTCATTCCATAGGGAAGGCCTGTGCCCCAGTAGTGGGGGCATTAATAGGCCGATGATGTAATGATGGACCTAATATTTTCTTGCCATTTCGCAGGCAGTTCAGAAAGATCGATCGATATCTCTCTAGTTTCGGATGTAAAAAAGCTATCGCCTTCCATAGAAACTCATAATAGCGATTCGAATACTTTCTCGCTATTTGTTCGTTCTAGGGGTACAGAACTGCATCGTTTATCTAATGTTCTTTTCTATCCTATACCTCGTCTCATTCAGATAAGCATTTGCTACAAATAAAAATATTTATACAATTCTTACCTCGTCTGGTTTTGGAACGGGTAACGTGGATCGATTCGCAGTGTCCTGAATTCTTGATCGCACATTTTTGTAACTAAATGTGGAGAGTCGTTCGAAAAGTTATGTGAAAATGCAGAATAACATATGATTGTCAAAGTGACAGGCGGGTCAAAATAAAACAAAGTTATTTTTTTAAATTAAATTTATTTTAAATTATCTATAGGGTTATGTCAATATATACAAACTTTTTGATAACAGGTAGGTATATCTTTTTAGTTAACCTAAAAAATCTACGTAAAGAACTACTAAGGAAGGCATGGATCAACGTAGCGAAATCTTATAGGTCTAGGTAAATATTATTCATCCTGTTAAATATCAAATTATTTATGCAGCTACCTAAAGGCAGATCCAAAAGTCCTGGGTTGGATTCCTGATTTGTGTGTGGACTACCATTAGGTACACTCGCGGAAAGACCCGCTCTGTCACCCATAATGCCATAATCGCTTGCGGTAGCGGCGTAGTAAAAATTCATTCATAGACATGTAATTATCGCTGTCTCACTTTTTCGTATAGCGCTGTCGCGATCACGATGCGGATGACAAATTGTAACTAAAACAAATGCAATTCAATTCATTATTCAATCAATGAAATGCTCTCTGTCTTACTTTTGTGCGGCGGCCCGGATTGGCGCGTCCGACGCGAAGGCGGGGCGTAGTAAAAACTACTGTAGAAAACTGTTCAAAGCATTTTGTTGACAGAGCGCAAAATTCCGCGATACTACCAATAGACCACACGGAACACGTTTAATTTCTTAATCATTATATCTATTGTTTAATATTTATTAGCAGCAGCAAACTAGTTCGCTGATCGCATCAACTTTTTACAATGTAGGAAAAACAAAACATAATAAAATCCAATTAAGTTTTTTCTAATGGTTGGTTTTGTGCCCGAAATTAAGTAATGTCTTTCGTGCACGCGAATACGTGTAATTGCGTCTTAACAGTAAAATCGATGTGAATAAAGGGGAACGTAGGATAAAACTAGTTTTTACGGGTTAGACGTATCTAATTTATTTATTTATTGACGTACGTTAAAATTAGAAAAAAAACTTCAATAATTAAATTAGCTAATAAATTCAAGCATAGACAATAAAGTTTTAAAAATCATCCAATGAAATATCCGAACGCTCAATAAAAGTCTTTCGAAGGTAGCTCGACAAAGTAAATAAAAATCATAATTGCGACGACGCATTCCCGAAAAGGGTGCGAAACGTCAATATATATATAAAGTCAGTACCCTTAGTACGAGTTTACAATTACGAAAACTATGATAGTTTTCGTGAGCTAAGGATACCTACTTATTTTGTTGTTTTCGTTTCAATACAAATAAACAGTGTTTAAATTCTATCAATTAATCATTTGCGTCTTCTTAAATTTTAATAATGATGTCGACTCTGGCATGATTCTCTAAAGCTAAACTTAAATTTGACAACAGTGCATCCTTGTCATTCTCTATACAGAATGAAAAGGAAAGACTGATGTTAAATTTAGTTTTAAGTTTAGAGAATCACGCCAGTATCGACACCAATATTTGGTTATTTTTCACCAAAACGGACATAGAAACATAATTTACAATTACGAAAACTATGATAGTGTTCGTGAGCTCAAACTCTTACTAAGGGTACAGTACATCTAACCCGTAAAAACTAGTTTTATTTAATGAGTGATGTGCGTGAAAACCTAAGAAACAAATATGGGAATGTATAGTGCGATTCAAATAAGAATAGGAAAGCCAATGACCTCCATCTGTCAAATGTCGCTTGAAAAATACGGTGTGCAAAAAAATCTTGGAACCCTTTTTTAGCACTCTCCGCTAATTCTAAAATAAAAACCAAACATTTGTAAACAAACAATAACAAATACTGATAATTAATATTGGTTGATTTTTTTTATTTAATTGAGCTTTGGCTGTGAATGGTTGATAACCTAAATCGTCAACCAAATGTCACTTTAAGTTGCGTTCAGAAACTCGATTTAAAACTTTTGTTTACATTAAGGATGCATGTTCGTATGTGATCTAGTAATAGTGCATGATTATTCATAACTAGTCCAGCCGTAATGCAGAGATGAGCGGAACGGAGGAGCTAGATTCTGATTAATTTTTTTTCTTACACAGTCTTAATAAGTAAAGAAATATTATTAAATTCGGTTGGTTTTTTTTCTCAATCTTGGTAAATAATTTTTATTATAAAATATGTTTTTTCTCAATTAATCTTAGTATATCAGTTTTCTTAAAAAAAAAACTTTTTTTGCTCACCCTACCTATTTGGTTTGAATTGACAGCTATGACGTCAGAATATGGCGCCCAGTCGGTCCTATTCTTAGTTGAATCGCATTATGGAATGTTTATTTAAGTATTAATGAGTAAAATCAGTCGGATCTCTGCGCGCGGTCGCTGTGGTGCGAGTGTCGCGCGGTGATGGAGGCGGCCTGCGCGTGCAGCTGCCGGTGCAGCACGCCCAGGCACTGCAGCAGCACCTGCATGCTGGCTGCAGACGTCGCCTGCACCCACACCATGACTTATTGCCACCTCACACGTTAACAGCAGGCCAATTATGCTCGCTAATTGTGATAATGGCCCCGATTCTGCCGTGATTCTCTAAACTTAAAACTAAATTTAACATCAGTTTCTCCTTTTCGTTCTGTATAGAGAATGACAAAGATATACTGCTGTCAAATTTAAGTTTAGGTTTAGAGAATCATGCTAGAATCGACACCATTGTTTTGATGTCTATTTCACATTACGTATTATGCTCTCCGAAAAATGCGATATCAAAATGACATCAACTTATGCTATGATGATGATCGACTCTTTAAAATGATATCGACTTAAATGCGTATTACGTTCGACTTTTTGACTTAAAATAGTATCGCATAAACGTCAAAAATGTGATACAGGATATGATATTGATATGATCTTGATGTCACATAGGAATGTTTCATAATACCATATAAAAACAATGTCAACTTAGCATCAACATCATATTGACATCACATTAGGATTTTATTACTGAAGCTTAATTGACCCGCAGGAGAGGGACATAGAACCATAGAGGTATAACAATAGAGTGGGGGACATAAAGGCCCGTATTAGAAGAAGATACTCAGTGATTGATCTAGTCTTGAGCATAGTTAGAAAGGGATGTCGCTATATATAGCACATAGCGATATCCCTTTCTTACTATGCTCAAGTAAAGATCAACACTTAGTTGTCAATTTCGCATCATCGCAGTCATGTCATTGTCAAGCGCATTCACAGACTATACCACGGCGAGTGTTCTGAAGAGCTATTCTCGCTTATCCCTCCATCACCTTTTCTTCAGAGGACCACGCGCGCTGGCCTACGTTGCCACCGACTTACTACACGAACAAAGAAATTTGGCGACTCATTTCTTTGTCGTACTATTCGTAAGTGGAATTCTTTACCCGCGCACGTGTTCCCCCCTTTCTATAATCTGGGGTCATTTAAGAGAGGCGTAAAGAAGCATTTTTGCGGGCCGGCAAGGTGAGGATGGTTGGTATAGCAGTTTATAACTGCTGTATCAGCTATCTTCGCGTTTGGACTTTATCACCACTTAACTTCAGGTGGGGTAGAGTCATTTGCCTACCTAGTTACATAAAAAAAAAACTGTAATACGGACCATAGACTCTACTACAAGTGGAAGTGTGTGGAAGTGAAAGAAGATGAGAGACCGCCAGTTTTCTCTCTCTAATCGCGCATGCGCATTGAACCGTTGAGCACCTTACTATTTCGATGTGATGCCATTGGATGCCATGCGTCACAAGAGAGAGAGATAGCTAGCGGTCTCTCATCTTCTCTCTCCTTCTACTAGATGAACACTTTTAGAGCCGTCTTCCCCACTCAATTCTTATACCTCTATGGGAAGGACACAGAACACTGAAAAAAGGTTACCAATGTCGCCGGCCCGCCCCCTCTACACTTCCACCTTATAGATAATACATAATAGCCAATCAAACGACCTGACATCCAACAATTGAACCAATCAGCTCTCACACCCTAGAGCAACGGCGCAATCAAAACCGGTTGTTAATCACAGATAACTGTGGCGTGCCTGCCTGCCCCTCCCACAACGCGCTATTCATTCGCGGCGCGGGGGGGGGGGTTTGAGTTGACCATGTCTTATTTTTTCTTACAAGGGGGTGGGAGCAGTGGCGTAGCGTGCCTTGGCGGGGCCCCGTATAAAAAATTGTTTGTTTAGGAAGGGTAAAGGTTTCTCAATTAAACCAATTCAAATTATTTAAAGTTACACTCTCCTTGACTTTTTTCGGCAAACTGATTTATTAAATCATTTATAGCTGATGATGACTTTAGTTTTTCTAAAGTTTCTGCCTCTACGAACAATAGTGACTCCGTGGTTTATCATCGTATCGCATGTACATCGATTATTGTGGGATACCGGGGAATTCCCGATTTCGGGTGTTGCCAACGCACGCTTTACCCCGTAAAAACATTGCTGTTTTGTCATTTCTGAAAATTTTTGGAAGTTATTATTAATTTTTGCTTACGCCCGGGCCACGGGGGGTGTTCGTGTCGTCGAGTGCAATGGATCCAAAAAAATATTGTGTATTTACGAAGCATATTCAGAAGATGAAGCCAGAAAAAGAAACTGGGTAAACCCACTGAATAGTCAGAGGCTGATATGTGGACAGTTCCATACTTTATATGAACATAAACGTGCAAATCCAGATATGTTTGAAAAGTACTATCATATGCCATTACGTGTTTTTCAAGAATTATTACACCACGCAACTTGTAACAAACTGTTGCTTCCCCACTCCCCTTCCTTGCCCTACCCTAAACCCCGACCGAAATTCGGACGAGCTTATGCGCATTGAGTCGGCAGACAACTCAGTTTGCGTTGTCGTGTGGCACCAACTGCCTTTTTGTATGAAATCGAATGCAGCAGAATTTCTGCGACCGAAATTCTGCGAGTCACCACTCACAAAATTACGCTCGTTTGGCCTCACCCTATAGCACGCGGGCGGTCGGTACCGATACACTGTCTTAGGCTTAGAACGCACTGCGGTTTCAGACACGCGTTTATCGCAAGTCTGAAACCGCAAAAAAATGTAACACAAAGCTTTCTATACAAGCGCACGCATTAGCGGCTTTCTACAGTGACTGATTTTAAAAACGCAAAACTGATTATAAAAAACATAACTTGCTACATTTGGATCGCGGTTTGTAAACGCACGATTTTTTTTGTGCCCCATAGTAATAGTATTGTAGGAAGGCCAAAGGGGAAGATCTTCCTGCGAGCTGGATGATGGTAGCTCGGAGGCCGCGGCCCGGTGATGTTGGTCGGGCAGATGTCGTATATATGAAGAGTAGGGATGCAAAGTCTTTTGAAATATCGATATTTATATCGATATTTATATCGAAGTCAGGAAAATATCGATATCCGATATATCGACCATTTTAACTCGATATTATCGATATATCGATATTTTTTTCTTTTTTGCTTTGTATTAAGTTTGCAAAGCAAAAACAAAAAATTAAGGAAGCAAAGGTTTCCGAAATATCGATATTTATAATGTGGGCAGGTAAATATCGATTTCCGATCCGATATATCAGCCATTCCAACATTTCCAACACGATATTTATAGATATTTTCTATATTTTTATAGCGCTGTAAGAAGTATCAAATCAAAAGCAATTTCGAATCAAAGATATTTATTTTGTTTAAAATGTTAAAACATCAGGGGCGTGCCCATGGCTTCAGAATAGGGTAAGCCCAAAACTTCCAAAATTACTTTCTTGACTTGGCGAGCTTAAAAAAAATACGATTTGTATAAGATTCTTAATTTGATTTTGTGTTATATTACAATGATATTAAATTTCAATTAATCAGTAGTTGACAATTATCTAGAAAGAGGGGCAAGGATTTTATTTAAGCACATGAGTTACCATTAGGTATACGATTATACCTATATACGTTGGTGTCGATTCTGGCATGATTATCTAAACTTAACACTAAATTTAACATCTGTCTCTCGTTTTCATTCTGTATAGAGAATGACAAGGATACACTGTTGTCAAATTTAATTTTAGGTTTAGAGAATCATGCCCGAACCCACACCAGTTTAGTATATTTCTTGGGGTTCAAGATTTTTTTAATACTTCTATAACCTCTTGCGATTTCAAAGCGATATTTATTTTGATATTATTCAATTTAGATAGTCATAGCAGGTACATTTATTGATTTTATTGTGTTCAAATTTAGTCTACGAAATATCGATATTTTGGAATTTCCGATATCGATATTATCGATATTAGTGAATTTTAAATATCGATATAAATATCGATATTTTGGTCTCGATATTATCGATATTATCGATATTCCGATATATCGTTGCAACCCTAATGAAGAGTTAGCTTCCGAATTTCATTTGCGCGATGTAGGCTTCCATACTATTATTGATCGCAGTGCAGGTAACGCCATCTCTTGAGGATGGTGAGTAATGATTTCCCCCATCTGTTGTATATATGTGGGGCATATAGATGTCGCCGCCACAGTATGGTGGCGCACGCACGGCGGTTAACAGCATTCGGTTGTCGGTATGTCGGTAATACCGGCCCACAATTTGCAATAATTTATCAAAAGTACCAATCGACATTCTGTAGTAGTTAAAAAATGTAAGTGGATGCTGTCACACGTCGTTGTACACATTTTGCAAAAGTATTCTTTCAAATGTCTTTGATCTGTTAATGGGTGTACCCAGTACCTATGGAGGTGACGTTGTTTACGTTTTCTATTTTTTAAAACCAAAGCTACAACACACGCTGCTTGCCAGAAATCCATGGTCATCTATACTTATAATAAATCTGTAGAGATGTCAATTCTGTACATGAAATATATTTTTAAAATAACTATCAGGGGGTGATTAGTGATCGATACTGATGCCAAAAATGCAATCAGTAAAATTTTTGTCTGTCTGTCTGTGTGTATGTTCCTTATAGAAACAAAAACTACTCAACGGATTTTAACGAAACTTGGTACAATTATTCTTCATACTCCTGGGCAGGTTATAGTATACTTTTCATCACGCTACAATCAATAGCAGCAGAGTAGTGAAGGGAAATGTTGGGAAAACGGGAGAAGTTACTCCATTTTTTAAGCTTCCGTCGCGGGTGCAGCCTTAATGGTTAAAGTTACATAGAAATCATGTATGACGGAAATATTCTACATAAAATTGTCTAAAAAATATCCCGCAACAGCATATGTCTATCTTTTATGGTTGACTCACAATAACACGTGTAATTATATGAATAAAGTAATTCTTTATAGCACAAGCCTGAGAACAAAAACTATAGTTCACACTACAGCTCTACACCGAAGCGAAGCGAGGGCGGGCCACTAGTACTGAAATAAAATTAAGTTAAACGCGAGCTGCAGTGCGTGGTTGTATGCGGTTATGCGTTTTCAGCTATTCCTCAACCGCTCCCGGTTAAGCGCAGTGCGTTCTAAGCCTTAAGGCGCTGGTCCCACGATGTTGTCGCGGGCGTGGCCTGTTTCAAACGTATGAGAACTCTAACGTTCGAGACTCACAAATGTGACCAACTGTGACATGAAAGTTCATTATGCAATGCACAATTTTGTTGGAAAAATTCTCTTCCATTCCATTCCGCGGCAGTATAAATTGAGGCAAACTTGCCAGAATGACGGACAGCGTTTGTTTTAATAATACTGAATCCTAATAACTTTACTTTGAGGAATTCGATCTGGCCCCTCAGTTCAAACGTACATAAAGTCCTCCCGCTGGATGAAGAGGCTTTCGCCATCCTCAGAAACAAGTCCGCAAGCACGCATAATGTTCCATGATCCGTGTTTTGAATGGATTGTTCTTCATGGCAGAATATAAGTTATTATCCAATCTCACCCTCTCTCTCTTTCAGACCGTCTCAACCCTTCCCCCCCTTATAAATAAACGAAGACTACGCTTGGATTAGCTACTCCATGTTTTAATCTAAAGAAAATATAACTAGAAAAAATTCCACGCGGACCAGGCAGCAGACGGGACTCGAACCCGCACCCTTCGCAATCCGGGCGAATGCACTGACCAAATTATGCTACCGCGGCCCTCACGAACCGCGTCGAAATTCTATATCATATCGACACGATTTTCTTTAGATTCAAACATCAAGCAGTTACATGCTTTAAAAAACTAAAAATTATAACTATAATTGCTATTTCTTCTTTCAAATGTTTAATACTTGTAAAAATATTCATTTGACATTGTGGGTTACCTATAATGCGAAGAGATGGCGCTGCCTTGCAGCTTAAGAATGGCTAGAGGAATTTCGACGCGGTCCGTGAGGGCCGCGGTAGCATAATTGGTCAGTGCATTCGCCCAGATTGCGAAGGGTGCGGGTTCGAGTCCCGTCTGCTGCCTGCTCCGCGTGGAATTTTTTGTAGTTATATTTTCTTTAGATGTAAACATCAAGCAGTTACATGTTTTAAAAAATTAAAAATAACTTCATGTTTTATCTTTGTCTATTGAATGACAAATGCCATTTGAGTGACAGAACCAAAACATGGCGTAACTTGTCAAAACTTATTCCTTGTTTATTAATAAGGGGGTACGGGTGTAGACCTCCTTAAAATTACGCCACCTGTCACGATTTTTTGTAACCTGAAGCCAATTTTTCTTTTCTTTTAAGGTTATTGTCCTAATGCATCTAACTTTTTTGACGCCATGTTAGCTTCTCAAGAAACTGCTGCTTGCTCCACGAATCAGTCTTACGTGCCACATAACTAGGGCTGCCATCTCTAAAATGTGGTAACCAGGATAAGACGCGTGATAACCCCGGATTTTGGAGCCCAGAACCCAGACAGACCAATAAAAAAACAGTTAAAAATGTCAAAAATCAACTTTTTTATGTTGATCTAGGCAAAAGAGCTAGCGGTCTAACTCATAATAAGTGGTCACTGCTGCCCATGGACACTTGCAGCAACAAGGGCCACTCATGCGATGCCGTAAATTTTTAAACCCGGACTACAAATAAAACCCCGCCCGGACGCTCCCCGGACGCCCCGTAAACTAGGACAAATCCGGGGAAACTCGGACGGACGGCAGCCCTACACATAACCCACCCATTCTCATTTCAGTATACTAATCACAAGGCCGAACTGTAACCGTGCATCTTTGACAAATGTATTCTGCCAGTTCTAACTTATGGTGCTGAAACCTGGGTCTTTACCAAGGAGATATAACCTTAGTTGAGTGTGACCCAGCGGGCGCTAGAGAGAAAAGCTACCCCAAAATTAAAATAATTATACCCAAAAAAATTATTAAAAAAAAGAAAATCTTTGTACAAAAAATTATACATATATTAAAAAACAAAATTTTTAGTTTAAATAATTAATTAAAATTTAACATTTTAAGGGAGAAATAAGCTTTAAAATATTTTTTATAAAAAATATTAAGATTTACATTAGTTAATATGTTTTATTTTTTAAGCATTTAACTGCTAGATGTTGAAATCTAAAGAACAGTTTTTACTAGAAAAAAGAATTTGCGAAGGGGGCGGGTTCGAGTCCTGTCCGCTGCATGGTCCGCGTGGATTTTTTTTCTAGTAAAAACTTTTCTTTTGATTTATATTATTTAAATATTATGGTCAGTCACATCGAGGGACCGTAAAACTAATGAGTGGCTCAGACAACAGAGCAAGGCCACTGATGTTATCGACCATGCATTATCCAATATTAATAATAATCTATTATGGAATCATTCTTACCTTAAGCAGAAGCAGATCAGGATCTGTGTGTGGGAATGGAGAATCTGACGATTCTATACACCTTGCCAGTGCAGCATCACTGTAAAAAATAAATAATTGCAAGTATTGTTACTAACATGTTATGAACATGTGCATATTTAATTTAATTTGTAATAACCTGAGTTCTGTAGTTTGGAGTTGTTGCCGTGCTGATGCCATCGCATCATGGACTGCGAGCTGCTCTCTTGGCTGCAGGGGTGGGTTTGCACCCATGGCCTTTAAAAGAAAATTTCATAATATTGTTTTTATTTTCAGATTAAAGTTAAACTTCCTGAAATACAGCAGAAAATAATCTACAATATCTCGCTGAGTGATGTTAACAATTTTAAGAATGTTAAGTAGAACAATGGCATTGCCTTGCTGACCCCAAAAAAATCTTTTTTTTTTAGATAGGTCTGACAAATGACTCCACCGCACCTGATGTTAAGTGATGGTGAAGTCCAGATGTCAAGATAGCTGGTAAAGCAGCAAACTTGAAAACATCCAGATCCCAATAGTATAATTTGTAGTTCTTTCGCTCATTCAGCTAAGAATAATGAGTTGATTTTAGCCAAGTACTTGGTAAGAGTTTTATTTTCTTTAAATATAAAAATATAGTAGATGAATGCTTATTAAAAACTATACTTAAGTTTCTTTTTCAGATAATATCGACCATTTAAACAATATGTCTTCAAATAATTAGGTTCTACTTTTTCAATTCTCATTCACACAAGTTTATGTTATGACAAAAGCAAAATTTACTTTTGTGTGTATTTCAGCAATGGCTCTCAGGCCATTGACCCACTCCTGCCTCGCCCGGGCATCTGTGGCTCTCAATTTCAGCATGTCTCCAGATGCACAGTTGATGGTGAATGTTCGCGAGTCCTCATCACTAGGGCATATCACAGCTGCAGCTAAATGTGCCTATGAAAATATTAAATAACATTAACAATTATATATATATAATTTTTTATATAACACTAACTAGCCTAACCCCAAAGTAGAGTACTGTAGGCTAGTGTTATGGGATACTAGATAGTAATGGATAGGATACATATAGTGATACATAAACAAGTATATTATTTAGAAATTCATATTAACATCCATGACTGGAGTACAAATGCTCATATTCATCACACAATAATCTGCTCCCACTGGGATTCGAACCTGGGACCCCTTGAGTAGGCGACACCTTGAGACCAAGGTACAAACCACTCAGTCACAGAGGTTGACAAATATTTATTATATTATTTTACAATACCTATGGATATAGTTGAAATTGGTTTATACACCAGCCTTAACGTGAGTGAGTGCAACAGTCGTTGCAAGCATACCAATGCATATTGGAAATGGCCCAGGCGCAAGAATTTTCTACCGTTTTTTTCTTGTTGCTCTTTCCATACATCTACTGTTTTTTTTTCTGTAACACTGTAACTTTCAGTGGAAATTTATGTGAGCAAAGAAAGCGGAAAGATATTCTCGCTTTACCCTAAAAGTTTAAGGTGGTTCTGGCGCATAATAACAAATAGGAGTATTTGAGTTTCGAGTCCCGTCTGCTGCCTGGTCCGCGTGGACTTTTTTCTAGTTCTATTTTCTTTAGATTTAAACATCCAGCAGTTACATGCTTTAAAATAAAAAAAAATATAAATAGGAGTATGTTATATAAAGGCCGAATACTAAGGCAGATGTAATCATCACAATAAAAATAAATATTCAAATAAAAATTATTTTATCTCTACTGCGCTTAGCTAAGTTAGTTTAGGACATTGTGAGCATACACGAATTGTTATACCTCTCCTCTGGCTGGCTGTCCCGGTTGTATTGTGTCTCCAGGGCCATCAAAGAGGTAATATGATAGAACTCCTGTCTCCGGATCAACTGCAAACCAGCGTTGCTGCCAACCTTTGACTACATTAGTGTATTTATATAATTGTCCCGAAAGAGGCCTATGAGACCCTAAGCCAGTACTTTTCATCATTTTATCTCGTTATTACCGCGTCTGCAACAAAATATTTACTATTGAATTGTTTTTTTTTTGTAGTTCTCCCTTTTTAGGGAAGGCAAAAAGATCAATGCCCATACAGCCTCTTCTTTAGTTTTTTATTTATTAGAATTAGAAAATTCATTTTAATAAATGATTTTATTGTTTGATGAATTTCAGATATTCTTCTTTATATATTGCTTAATATCAGTTTTTTTTAATGTATTTTATATATACAAAGAAATAAAAAGGCAGCTAACTACCAAAATAGACACAATGAAAAACCTTATTATCGAGTTCAAATAATATAAAACTTGTATACAACCATGAAACTATAGTAATAACTGGAGGCCAAACTCAGTACTATTAGTTGAAGCCAAGTAGGTATGACCGCAATTGACCTTTCGTTGGACTTCTGGGTGGCTATCTTATAAATCTAAATTTTCCCGAGACCATAGGCATATTCGCTGCTTTATTTTAAGGCCACTAAGATGACTTGTTCTGAAAAGTATCGGTGGATTTGCAATTGTCTTTTTAGTTACACACTCTAACCCCCTTATTAATAAACGAAGACTACGCTTAGATTAGTTAGTCCATGATTTGTCTCTGTCTTTTGAATTACAAATGGCACTTGAGTGTCATGAACAAAACACTGCGTAACTAGTCTAAGCTTATTCCTTGTTTCTTAATAAGGGGGTAAATGTAAAAAAAAGTTAACGAATAGGCCGGCAGGTCCCATCAGGTCAGTTACTGATATTAGCCATTTTTTTTAGATTTATTCAATTATAATATTAGTTAGCAAATTTCTGTTTAACAAACTTTTTGACAACACTAATAATATGAACTCTTTGACCTTAATATCATTGGACTTGAAAGTTTATCTATGAATTAGTTTGTACATTAAAACTACTCTGAAATCGAATCCAAGATGAACGATTTATAATATTAGGGTACGGCCAGAGTGCACTCAGATTCAGATTCAGACTCAGAAAACAAAGCGCGAGAAAAAGCAGGCAACCTGCTTAGACTACACTGTTTATTTCTCGCGCTTGTTTTCGGAATCTGAATCTGAGTGCACTCTGGCCGCACCCTTGTGCAACCATAATATTTAATTATACTTTTACTAAAAAATTGTACGCAAATATAATATCCAGTTACATTAAATAGAAATTCGTGACCTTTGTTGACTCATTTTAATCTAATTATTCAATATTCCCGAGTTATTTTAAAATCTGGTGGATTATTACTAAAACCCCTTATTTGTAAAATTATATTCTAGTATAACAATTACAATTACAATTGTTATGGTATAACAATTGCCTTGATTAAATCATCGGAACATGTTTTTTCTTAATTTCGCCATTATTGTGGTAGCCGGCATTTTCAAACAATGGTTACACCGCATGTGTCAATATGGTGGATGTCAATTTCTAATTTTGTCGACTCGAAAGTTGTAATTCCTATTAGGACTTTTCTCGCTATCAAAACGTGAAAAATGGTTCAAAAATGTGTAGGTCTAGGTTGTGGAAGTAAACACTATCCTGGATATTTCACAGGTGAGTCATAAGTTATCTTAATTGATAATTGCTTACATTTCATCAAAAAAAAAACTTTTTAACACTTATTTTAACATAAAACCCATTATTTTTCTATTATTTACTTTCCAAATTCCTATTATTCAAAGGTTTCGGTACTAATATTTCAGAATTTTACTAACAAAACAACAATTGGCATTGTAAAATAAACACTAAAAGGGTGACCATGAAACGCGGATAAAGTGATTTTCGTAATACGAAAACCCTTAAAATAGGACAGAATTATATTATTAGTACGCGCACATTGTAAAACACTTATGTTACTATATTTTATTCATGTTACGTATTTATTGTTGCCTTCATTGCTACTAACTTGACTATTTTTACACATTAAAACACAAACTTACTATTTTTATTCTATTTTTAGTTTTCCTAAGGAACCATCAGGGAGAAGCCAATGGCTATCAAGTATAAAATAAATTGTATGAAATTGCAAAAATATGCAGTAATAATTTCTGTGGCTACTGGTTATATATAATGGAGAATCAATTAAAACATACAGCTATTCCCTTTTATTCTGATGTGGTAAGTAAAAATCTATGTATATACTTCAGCCATCTTATGGAAAGAACTTTTATAAGCAAACTCATATTTAACTTCAAAAATAAGTTTTTTATTACATATTTTAGAAATATTAGTACTTCATTAATAGTTTACTTATATTGTTCAAGTGTGATATATGGCACTAGAAGTCTGTATTTGTGGAATAATTACGAAGTGTTAAAATTTTTGTTTACATACATTCTTGCCTAGCTAAGATGGCTGTAGTACCTATAGATTAGAGTTATACATCCGGGCAAACATACATGCATGAAATAAATTTATGATGATGATGTTTATTACTTTATGAGGGAAACGCCAAAAACGTCATAAAACTGTACTTTTCAGTAACTTATAAATGTAAATATTAAAATGATTGTGTATTTATAACCATTGTTTTATTTCTATCTACAAAATATAAATTACACCTGAGAATGTAAGAAAAGGAATGTGATGAGTAAATCCGTGGAGTGACGTAACATAGGGGTAAAATATATGCTGGGAGCTTATAACAATAAAATTTGGTAGGATTGCAGGTGAGGAGAAATTGTATTTTATTCTGCATCACACCATCTGGCAAATACTATACTAAAATTAATTGATGAATGTGAAATACGGTACTGTAACGTCCGTGACGTTGCAGCCTCCTTGTTTAGGTAAACTCTTTGCTTTTGCAATGCCTACGGTTGGCAGTTATATTAAAAAGTTAATGTCATGATTTTAAGATTTGAAATAAGGAGTCAATAAGGTCTGTCTTTTGATAGAAGGTTCCATACAAGAGTAGATCTTCAGGCACCAAGCAAACCTCTCGTAGTTAGATAAAAATAATTATATTCGCCTGAAATCTAATATAAAATAATAACCATCGTCAAGTTGTTTGAATTAATAGCCACGTCCCCAGGTTCTATCCATTCTGGCTAGAGCTCCTCAGTACCTATATTATTTTCATTTTAAAGTCGGTTCATTTAAAATATTGGTCTGTAAGTATTAAATTTCCATTTTGTATGAAGAATTTTTTGCAAACACGAATTTCCATACTACTAAGTTTTTGATTAATTTGAAATTGGCTGTATTATTTGTTTTTTATAACATTGGGTTACATAAATTAATTTAGATTCTAATGTAACACAATCTTTCCTAAGCAAATGAAATGGAAAAAAAATCAGTTAATTAAACAACAGCAAAATTAATGTAAATCTATAATTAACAATGACCATTTTACTTTGATACATGATTCCGTAATTAATATCTTAGCCAATGTGTAAATTTTTGATAAATAAACGCAGATATTAATACGTTTTTTACTTTTATTACTAGTTTTAAAAAACTTGTCTCCTTTCCTTAGTGGTTGTGTGGATACCCTATTTAGAAAGAGAGGAGGGGGACCTACGGAGCGAGATAGAATGCAATTATATTTGCTTAATTATGTAGGTAGGTAGGTATGGAGGAGTTTGGCCTCCAGTATTATCTATAACTTCATGAACTCGATACATTTCGTGCCAAACACTCCAAGAAACATAGAATGCGTTACAACCACATTCTTATGTAAAAATAAAAGAAGATTAATTAACTAAAGACTAGGCTTTATAGGCATTGTTCCCTTTGCCTTCCCTAAAACGGGAGAAACCAAAAATAACACTAGAACGTCATACAATATGGTTCTGTGCGTCATAGTAGTAGCAGACGGCCAACCGGTGAACTCCTTTTAGAACTTTTCTAAAAACGACATGACGAAGCCTCACTTATTGATTTTGACATTTTACTTTTTTCTTTTTTTTTCGAAACGTACTTTTTATACATACTTGGATAAGCGTCTTTTAAGCCACATTATTTCCTGTAGAATATTGGAATCCGCTTTTCAATGCTTTTATATTTGATGGTATTTTGAAAATAAAAGATTGCGCTATTTGTAATTTTTTTATTTTTCAATTTTGTTTTGTATTTATTAAAGGCTTTTAAGTATTGAAGTATTCATTTGACATTGTGGGTTTACCTACAATGCGAAGAGATGGCGCTGCCTTGCAGCTTAAGGCTAGAAAAATTTCGACGCGGCTAATAGGGCTGTGGTAGCATAATAGTCAGTGCATTCGCCAGGATAGCGAAGGATGCGGGTTCGAGTCCCGTCCGCTGCCTGGTCCGCGTGGATTTTTTTCTAGTAAACTTTTCTTTAGATTTAAACATCTAGCAGTTAATGGCTTAAAAAATAAATAAAATCATAACTTATAGTTATGATTTTATTGCTATTTCTTCTTTCAAATGTTTAATACTTGAAAAAGTATTCATGTGACATTGTGGGTTTACCTACAATGCGAAGAGATGGCGCTGCCTTGCAGCTTAAGGCTAGGAAAATTTCGACGCGGCTAATAGGGCCGTGGTAGCATAATGGTCAGTGCATTTGCCCTAGAGATGGGCGTTTTTAGATATTTTTGAAATCGATGCGCATCGGTATCAGATAATTGGCATCGGATGCCCGCATCGATGCCGGCATCGCATTGATGCCGGCAACGCATTGATGCCGGCAACGCGTCGATGTCAACTGAATGTCGATATCTTTATCGATGCGTTGCCGGCATCCAGTCGTATCGCGCATCCGATACGACTGGATGCCGATGCCATCTAGTTTTTGTCATCGTTACTATAGCAACAGTGCCACAAACTTTTCTGTGTCGGTGGCAAAAATTTTAACTACAATTTATCCATAGCATTTTGTCATTTTTATGACATATTTGTTCACCGTTAGCGACATCTCCACCGGTACAGATAAGTTTGTGGCACTGTTGCTATGGTAACGTTGACAAAAACTAGATGGCATCGGCATCCAATAACGGCATCCAGTCGCATCGGATGCGCGCATCCGAACCTGGCATCGTTATTACGCATCGTTATTCTTAAAACGCCCATCCCTAATTCGCCCGGATAGCGAAGGATGCGGGTTC